TTTATCTGTTCTCTTTTGTTGAAATACATTTCAGGAATTTCTTTGCCTGTTGAAAATCTGCATCTCGCACCCTCCAGAGTTCTTCCTCTTTGAATAAAGGCTCTTTGTGATCATCTCCAGGAGCAGCTGTTGTCGCTGTGACTCCCATTGATACTACCACGGGGGAAGTTGTGGGAGTCGTCTGATACTCAAGGACTCGGCTCATTCATGCATGGTTATAGGACGTCAGAAGCTGCAGTATCCCATAGGAACATCGGGTATGTGTGTGTTTGTGGATGTGTTTTAAAAGGATATGGCTGACAATATAAAAAACTTTGTTTCGTGTAATTTTTCTCATGAAATGGCTGAAACACTTTTTCTTCCTGACCTCATTATGACTGTTGCACTCAGCCCAAATCCATGTTTTCTTTACCTGCAAATCTATACTTAAATTTAAAATATGAAAAATCATTTTCCACAATGAAGAAACTGGCTTTTAGCAACCCTTGCTGAATCAAAGTTTGAAACAAAACCTTCGTTTCCACCAAGCCCCCAGTCAGGTTCAGTTACGTTCTGTATCCATTCATGGAGTTTCCACCGTCAAAAGTTGAGAATGGTACCAAAATAAGGGATCCGTACTGTCCTACTTTTTTGGTACTCTTCTGTTGGGGTGCCAAGGGTACCAATCTAACCCTAAAGGGTCCCATTGTTTACTGTGTAGGGTTAGGGTTAGGGTTAGTTTCACTTAATAGCGGGCTACACTGTGTTGGGCTGCTATGATGTCACAATATTACATAGCTGACGGTGTTTTCTTCATCTGGCTTACACTCCACTTACCAAATAAGGGTACGGTTGGAAACGCAAGCAGGTTCAAGGTTTACCGTACTGAACTGTACCAAACTGTACCGAACCGAACCGGACTGCTTGGTGGAAATGGGGCTAAAGAAAGAAGTGATGTGATGATCAAGGGATTTTTTTCCTGGAAAAAGGAAGTTGTGTGGTGTCCATGGGATTAATATCCGCCCCAGCATATCTACTTCAAACTCTTTGTTATCACCTACAAAGCATTCCACAACCTGGACTCCCCCCTTACCTGTCTGAGCTCCTCCACTGGCACACTTCCTTTTGACACAATCCTCCCCTGCAGTTCTATCCATCGGTCATGGTGGGGGCAGGGCCTTCTCCGTTGCTGCTCCCACACTCACAGATTAAACTTTATTTGTACATTAATTTAATTCAAACCAACAATAAAGTTAAGAAAAAACAAACAAACATAAAATCTCAAATTTTGAAAGAAAAGGAGCAGAAAGAAGACTAATATCATAATATCTACCCCTCTTTCACAAAGCATTTATTTAAAAAAAAACACAATTCAAAATAATATAAATAGGCTGCAGGCAAACACAGCCACTGTCAGCCCCATCGTAGGTCCTCGTTAACAAACTAGAGTTATGGTTCGCTACACTCTGAAAGTGGTCCAACACTGAGAAGTCGAGACCTGCCAATAATTTAAGACGTGAGATTGAGATCTCCACTGTGCTGTTGAGACCTGTTGAACATCTTAGATAAAAAAAAATCACATATTTGTGCTGTGATGCCCGGTTAACTGAGTGCACAAGTTGCTTTAGGCTTTTTGGGGTCATGAAACTGAAATCAATAGTTACGCCCCTCTATTGATTCAATATCGTCATTTTTAATGCTTGTAACTCATACTTAAATAATACATGATTTCCCATACTGACAAAAAAAAACTCTCCTTGAAACAAAAGAGTATTTCCAATTTCAAACACTTAGGCCTCAACTAAACAATACATTGTATTTTCACACTTAATTTCTTCAAAAACGAGCCAGAAATATAACTATCACTGTAAGATAATTATGGTGGCATTAAAAGTACAACATCGTCTCTCATCGTTTAGACATTTTTTGGTAAATGAAATATCCAAGAGAATCAAAGGTATCTAAAATGTTTTACTTTAGTACTTTAGTTTGTACTTGAATGAGCTTCTTTCCACCGTTGAGAGCGGATTGATTTCTGCACGTCTGAAGAGTTCACTATTCTTACAAAATCACAAAACACAGTAGACAGATTTGTGTCATGAGGGGGGCGCGGTGGCCTAGTGGTTGTGCCGCGAGCCCCATGTACGGAGGCTGTAGTCGTAGTTGCAGAGTCAGTGAATTTGAATCCGACCTCTGCCCTTTGCTGCATGTCATCCCCCATTCTCCATCCCAACATTTCATGTCTCTCTTCAACTGTCCTATCCAATAAAGGTAAAACTTGCCACAATGTGTATCACGGTGCAGGGGTTGAGAGTCATTATATTTTTGATATATTATAATGCTGAAAGCAGGTCAGTATACTGCAGTTTAAATAGAGTATATTTTATAGTTTAAAGAAAAAATCACCATATGCACAAGATCAAAGATAAACAAAGTTTTACTATTTTTATTCAAACAGAACAGTGGATTCTGCATTTGCTTTTATCACAATCCTTTTTTTCAGGCATTTTTGCCTTTATTGGATAGGACAGCTGTGGAGAGACAGGGAACGTTGGGAGGAGAGACTGGGGGATGACATGCAGCAAAGGGCCAAGGTCGGACTTGAACCCACAGCCACTGCGATGAGGACTACAGCCTCCGTAAATAGGGTATGCAACATTACATAGGCTGTCAGGCTCCCCGAACACAATCCTTTTAAAAACAAACATCATAGCACTCCTTCTTCCTGCAGTATTAATTATTTCTTACCACCGTGAATGTGCATCTTCACTTCACAATCATCACTTTTGTATCAGCATTGCCATGTCTTGTGTCAACTTGTACCAAGAATTCCTGTGGCACTGTTGATGAAATATGGGTTGATATCCACTGCAGCAGATAAAGATGTGTATTTTGGCCAGCATGAGAAAGTTTAGTTGTGACCGAGTTCAGTGAGTCCTCAGAGGAGAGGGAATCTGAGGACTCAAAGTCTCTATTCCGTGCGTGCCTCTGGACCTCGTTGGCGTACACAACAGTCAGTGTTGCCAAGCCTTTTGCTCTGGGCTTTGAGATATAAACATCACCTGCAGCACCAATCATAGCATGGTGTAACATTTCCCCTCCAGATCCTGTCCTTGAATGACCCCTGCATAGGAATAATATTAGTATTTAGTTTATCAGCTCAGATAGCTGCCCTTAATGTCGGGCCAAAAATACTGGATTTGTAATAATTCTGAGCCATGTGCAGAAGGAATACACAGCTTGTGTTTTATTTGTTTGTGCTCTGCTATTCGAAACATGTAAAACCTTATGTAACTGACTCGTGGTGTTTGTAGGGTGACCTGGAGTAATGACCTTTCATAAGCTCTTGGGGTTTTTTTGGGGTTCATTCCATATGCGTTTTTGATTCATTATATTCTTTTATAAGTTAAGGGCATCAAGGTTTTTTTTTTAAATATATACTTTATTTTTTATTCTTTGTTTTACAAGAAACACAGAACAAGTGAAGACTTAGGGCAAGACAGTTCAACTAAGATCAAATACAAGAATGTAAAAGGTACAGTACATAATTCATGGTACATTCTAATGAAAAAAGATGTATTTATGTTTGTATAAATCCCATTTGGAATTCTCAATGTCTCATGGTGGGAGCCTCTGAAGCCAACATTTAGTAATTGATTTTTTTACTTGCCACCACAACAATCTTTAAAAGGTATATGTCCTTTTTTGCCAAGACCTTCAGGTATTTTTCCCAAGGTAGAGAGATGTGAAAGAGAAATCCAATGTGATATTCAGAGTCTCTGCGATTAATGGTCTCACATCTTTCCAGATGGGCTGAAGACGTGGACCAGTCCAAAAAACATGTGCACAGTCTGCCGAGACCACTCCCCACTCCCCCCCAGCATGAGGCTGGAGAACAACTTAAATTTGACTTCTGATTTGAGGTAATGAAAAATCATATCAGATTTTTCCAGCAGAATTCTCGCCAAAAAAAAGAAGTTGTTGAAGTGGATTGATTTTTCCAAATTTGAAGCCGTGCATCTTGTGATATTATTATATTGGCCTCTTTTTTACCAGCGCTGTCTAACATAACCTGTTTTATCTTTATTCATTAAGGTAAAACCTTTATAATTTTCCAGCTATGCCTTTGGTACTATTTGAATCATAAACATCAATAAATATGTGTGTTATTTTTGTGGGTTCGGCTAAATCCGGGGTCTTTATTTCTTTCAGAAAAAAGTGACAGATCTTTAGGTACCGGTAAAAATCCTCTTTACCCAACTCATAAGACTGACGCAAATCCTCAAAATTCTTTAGATGTCCACTTTGTATTATTATACACCCAATATAACAATTCTTTCATTAACTATGATAATGTAGTTTGGTCCTTTTGTTGAGGTTAAACCAAAGGGAAAATTCCGGAGTAAACATGAAGCCAATGCAGAAAAAAAAGTTCCTCGAGTGTTGAGGAATCCCCATTAGGTCCCATATTAAAGGTCACATATTGTGCAAATCTATCACTAATATGTGTCCTTATGTCTACAAATCCCCCAAATTATGAGAAAAGTCCATCCTCTCCGTCTTTTGCCTGCTCCACTTTTCAGAAAGTGTGTGCTCAAACAGGCCGTTTGGAGATATTAGCTCGAAATTGAAAAACCAATAAAAACAGCATTAAATGGATTAAAGGCAGCATATTGAGAAAAGCAATAACATAAATAAAAACCGAAGGAGCAATGAAATGTTTGTTAGCATGGAGGACAACATTGTAACACCTTCAAATAAAAGGCTGTTCAGTACAACACCACCTCCAACTACGACTCCAGTGATGGACGTCACATTGAACTTGTTCATTGTTGTTAGCCTGAAGTGGTTTCACATACTGCTCATGTATGGATCTTTTGTTTCACCAGTGTCGTATCTTATAACATCTTATTGTACGTCATAACGTGAAGACTATGCCTATATACTCTCTTTTTTTTTTCCTCCCTCCCATCTCTCATTCCGGTCTGTTTATCTGGACTTTAGGCTCCCTTTCTTTCACCGCCGGATCATCCTCCCCGTATTCTTTCACACACAGAACAGTGGACAAGACAACAATGTTAAGCATCTCAAGGCTAAGCTGGAGTACAAAAAGATAAAAACCCAGGTTCCCAAGCTCTGACAAACAGTACCTTGTGCAGCATCACTGACTGGTCACTTGTATCTCCTCCTCCTCCAACCAGAGGCACAGCACTAACTGTACACTTTGTACACGGCGGCTCTAACGCTACATCAGTTGATCTACAGATTAACCATCCATCTCCAGCACCATGTACTGTGCATTTATTGTATTCACGGTGCTTTTGGGCTCTTCAGTGGCGATTGCATTTGTCTTACAGCTTTCCGGGGAAGAACCTGCAGCTTCTGCAAACTCTCATCCCAGGTCTGTATCAATCGTGTTTGTCCCTTAATATTTCTAATACCGCATAGCTATTACTTTATGGAAAAAGTGACATGTCTTTTTATGCAGGTGACATTCAAAACTGCTCTCTTCATTGTTGTGCACTGATTCATGGACAACGTTTCTGTATGTTTCTGAGTTATATTTTGAGGCCTAGTTAAAGGAAAAAAAATTGATTCATTGTATGGTCACTTTGACTATTTGTTTTTTAGAAACGATGTGTGGTTCTGTTTAAGCATCGGCAATCAATCACCTACTTCAAGTCCATTTCTGTTAGGTGGTTCCACGGATCATTGAGAGGCAGTGGTGTCAAGTAGTCACGACGGGCCCCAGTGCAAGCTGTTTTGACGGGCTCTTGTGCACATGCACGTGCACACACACAATTAGGCTAATCTGTGGGCTGGCGACTGTTTGTGAAACCAAAATAGTCTCATTTAGGGAGCTTTGCTACCCTCTCCTCCTGTTCCTTTCTCTCCTGTCGTTTTTTGTGTTTGAAAGGCATTTTGAATTGTTTGGAGATGTTCACTGTGCTCGCCTCAGATTTTCTTTTGCCACAACTAGATACATCACATGATCACATATTACCCAGCAATCGTCACTGCATATTTGGAAATGACAAATATGCAGCGTTGCAGTTTGTTAGTTTGTTATAGATTGTGACTGTCTCTAGAAATCATTTTAATTAACATTCATGAGGTCAGATGGGGGGGGGGGGGCCGCTTTCCTCATGGGCCCTCGTGCAGCTGCACTGTTTATGTTTATGCCATTGTTGAGAGGCTATGTTGTTGTTTCTTTGTTTGTTTTGCTTTGATTTTGTAATTTCTGCCAATTCATTTTCAATATTGTGACCTATTTCAACAACGTGTGCTATTTGATAATCAGGTGCCAGGGTGAGTCATTGCAGTCTATCAGGAAGGGTCTCCTCAGGGCCCTGAATCTGCAGACTGAGCCACGGCTGCCTAACGATGGGTTGGACCATGTCGGGCAGCACTGGAGGACCACCTTCAGCAATATTGCTCACAGTGCCAGAGATGCTGCAGGTAGTGGAGTCCACTACTCTAATAAACAATTCTGATTGGTCCTAACTGTCAAGCCTGAGCCTAAAAGTTAGTGGCTGCACCTTGGCTGAAAGTCTAACTCCATCTCCTTGTTGTTTGTCCCCCCCCCCCCCCCCCCCGAGTCCTTCCAGCTCCAGCTGTGTCTGGCAGCCCGGAGTCACCTGATGGTGGAAACACTACGAGCCTGAAGTGCTGTTCCATGGCCTCTGAGATCTTCATGAAAGGTATGCATCAATGTCTTGATACGTTGTCTGTAATAGGAGCATGCACATTGACATGCACTTAAATATGATGTAAGGTAAAAATGTTGAAAATCATGCATGTAATATCCATTCTTCTTTTATAGATCTGGGATGGGACAGCTGGGTGATCCTCCCTGTCAGCGTAACCATCGTCAGATGTGCACTCTGCAACCCTGACGGGAAAGTGCAGTGTCCATCATCTCACGCCGATGTCCAGGATGTAGACTCACAGGTATAAAAACCGAGTTACCTTACTTACTACTTACTACGTTTAACAGAAATATGCCCCTTAGTAAAAGGACATCCAGCTTAGTGCCCTTGGAAACTTGTGTGTGTTGATCTAATGAAATGTCTTCTGGAGAAATACATAGATATGTAAAACACCTCTTGAAAAATTATGGAGATGTAAAAAAGTTGCATTAGCAGAATTGACTATTTTTAGTAAAAGTATATGCTGCAGCAACACAAAACAAAAAGTCTTTCTTGACTAGATTATGATTACCTGAGCAACAGTGCAAAGCCATCATTTGACCTTTAGACACTGCTGAGTATCAACAAATAATAAGTATTGAAAAATGATTTTATTTATATACTCATGAATGTTTTTTTTTCCTTTATCTGAAAAGTACTTAGTATTTATTAAACCTTTATTTAAACCAGGAGAGAAAAAAAATCTCTTTTTCAAGAGTGCCCTGGCCAAGACAGGCAGCAGCACGAAACCTTAAGCTGACAGGTTTATTTTGTAGTGTGGAATATTAGAAGTCGGCCAGTAAAGCTGCATGTAAAGTATAATTACTGCAGTAATGGAATCTGTTCCCGATTACTTTCAACCACTGTGCCTGAGTTCTTTGTGTCTTCAGCACGTAACATAGTTTACTTGGTGTGTACTGGAGGTGAAACAGCTGCCAGTAGATAAGTCTTTTTTTTTCTCCTTGTGCCAACAAAAACCTTTACCCAACACAAGCCAAGGCACTCCCTAAAGCTATTCAACTGTGGACCCAGATGTGTTTTATGGAAACAGCAGACGGTGTTACTCTGGCAAAAAAAAAAAAGAGTTATCTTTAATTAAGACAACTTTAAAGACAATAAAGCTGTATTAGAAGTAACTGAAAGTAAATAGAGTCCTTCATCTTTAAATCAAAAGGTTGTGTTTGTTTCTTTTTTTGGTCAGTTTTGGTTCTGGTTAGAATACAATTTGTATTTTCTTACCTTTCTTTATTTGCATGTTGAACCATTACTTCAACATTACGTTAACAGTTTGTCCTCTTGAAAATGTTACTTCAACAAACCTTTCTCGAAATCATATAATACTTTGAAAAAGGCTTTGAAATGAAAAAACAAAAATAGTTATTATTTTAGTTACTTATTGTTTTGTTTTTTTAGTCAAATCTTGTGCAAAACTTGTAATGTGCAATGCATGATGTTAGTGTTTTTCATTGGTATGTGCTTCTTTCTTTATGCTTCATGTGGGTTATTGTGTATCCTTGTTTTTTTAAATAATTGATTCTAATGCAGCTACAAGGCAGCTACGTTTTTTGCAGAAGGAATCAAAGACAAATTTCCCCAGAGGGCCATAGAGGTGTATCGTATTGTATCATGTCGTGTCATATCGTATTGTAAATACAGCAAAAAGTAGTATGCCTGACTTCTTCTCTCTTTGTCCTTCTGCAGATCCAGGTGCCATGCTGTCAGCCGACCTCACAGCAAAAGGTGCTTGTTGTTTATGTGGATGGATCTGGAACTATCGCCCTCTCCTCCATGCAGATAACCAGCAGCTGCAGCTGTGGACATGTCAACCTCCTGCAGCCCAGCGGAGAGTAAACTTTGATTTATAGTCCCGAGTATGCGTCATCTAGGACAAACAAACAAAGCAATGTGCAGGATTACTGTTTCTTACCAACAAACTTGCAGATTTTGTAGACTAGTTCTCTTCATTCTAGGTGTTATCTCACATCCTCAAAGCTTGTATACAACACTGAGTGTGGGAACCAAACCATATTTGATATTTGATAGAATGATACAAGTGCCAGCACAGGGAGCATTAGAAAACCAATCAGTTTTTATGTTAGGGTTAAACTTTTGACATGTGTAAGCCTAATTACACATCAAATAACCTAAATTTATAAATTGATACTCTATATTTCTGCGCCCTTGTATTTTATGACAACAAGTTATTCTAAATTAAGCTTGGATAGATTTTGCCTGGGCAATAAAAAAATCTATTTCTGGCATTAAGTTTAAGTTTAAGTTATTTGCACAAGGAGCTGGATGTAAAGTGAAGCTGACACTAGTGTGTTAAATGCAGTCTGTTTATCTTTAAATAAATCTCATGAGCACAGAGAGCTATTTAAAGCGACTAAATGCAACAGAGTGTTCCTTTCAGAAATGTCAGACTGTCGAGAGCCAAATCCTCTCAAAAGGGGGTTACCGAACGACTGCTTACTCTCAAGGATTAAAAAATGTCAAACTTTGTTCCAATAAAAAAGATCTATTTCATAATTTGCAGGCAAAGTACTTGGAGATTATTGTTTTCAACAGATAATCTCCTTGACCCCAAAACAAGTATGAACAACATCTGCTCCGTGCTTTCACACCACGCTTCCACTGGCCACGCTCCAATTTTATGTTTTAAATGGCAAAAAGATTAAAGGAATAAATACCTCCCTGTACACCAAATTTGCCAAAATTAAACTTCAATAATCAATTCAATTGTTGTTTGTTAAATGAGCCAAATTAATTAGACTTTTAAACTGATCATATTTACAACGAGGTCTAAGACATACAAGAAATTGTGTATTTATTCCTCTTGACGTACTTTTGTTTTTCATTTTAGTGCTTTGCTGTGATTTGTAACCTTGGCCAGTTAAATGTTTTTTATTAAATGTTTTAGAAAGACCAGAGCTTGGCAGATTCTTTTCAATTATGTACAATTTTAAAAAAAAGTGTTTTCTTTAGAAACCTCTTGCTAAACCTTTAACAGGTGTCTCATTGACTATCTCTTATTATTGGTTGCAGTTCTCAATTGTAGTTTTGTCTTAAATATGTTTGACATATTTGTGTTGTTTCTTGTTAAATGCTTTAACTCAATTTACAAGGTTACCTCACACTTTATGTTTTTTAATCATTTTTCACAAGCGCACACTAACTTCTTATATATAACCTCATTTATATTTACATCAAATTCATTATGTGTATCTATATCTTTATCATTTGTACTTATTTACTGATTTTTGCCTCAATTCATTGAATAAAAATGATTGAAACCAAACTTTCTTTTGTTTTTTCTGGCAAGGATCACTGATGATTAATTTGAAGATAAATCTTGAGAATAAAAACTCATTTTGTAAAAGCCGTTCTGTATGCCAACCTTTCAGAATCTCATGCCTGCCAGACAGTTATGTGTTAATCATAGAGGGAGGAATAAAGCAGAGGAAGAAATATTGGCAGTGTATTAGGGGGGAAGAGCAGCATGTTGCGCACTTCTTAAGAGTCATCAACGTTTTCAGTTCTTGTCGGAGGCTTTTTAAGAAAAAATGTTTTTGCGGCTGCATTGAAATCTTAACTTATGATTCTCAAGTTATGCAAGCAAGACATTGATCCTGGACTACATTAAAACAACAATTCTACAAGAATACAGGAAGGGATCTGGGCTGATTCGTTAAGATTGCTGGCAGTCAGATTGTTCACTGAGTCCGGACAGTGTTACAATGTTAAGGTATTTCCCTGTGTGGATGTCTTCAATCATACTGTCCCCCCTTCTGTTGGGGGCAGGTGCAATTGTGTGTTCAGAGAAGGAAACATTGCTGAATCCGCTCCCCAGGACCTGGACACAACTAACGGACTGTTTGATGGAGTGCACTGGGATGATGTACATTAAAAAGTTGCAACTTCAGGACCATCATAATATAAGGCTCACAGATTCTACAGAAGGTAAGGAGACTTTCAGTGAAACTCTTTTAGCTTTAAAAAAACAATTATCAGTATTATCATACATCCTAAGCCAGGTATAAAACAAATAACAACTGGACTAAATGTCGAGACAATATCAGTAGAGGTCCTCTTGTGCTTATCTTTCTCAGCTTGAGTGACAGGGAACTTTAATATGTCCATGACATTATCTGCTGTGTGAGGCCCTTAAAATAGTGCCTCTTTTCCCAGGGGATCTTGGAGAATACTGCTGGTCCAAAGAGCTCAAGTGCACAGTTGGAGAGATATTCCAGCATGCCTACCTGGTCCTACCTGTGGACACATCTGCAGTTGGACATGATATTTTGGAAGTCAAAGCCACTGGCCCCACAGCCACCCCACTACATGCACACGTCAGCCCCACCACAGTTGCAGAGAGCTGCGGCCTTCGCTACGATGTCACACAGCACTTCAGCAGAGAGACAGCAGGGACATCGTTCTGCGTACAAGTAGGCAGCCTGGAAGACGCCCTGGGGGACAAAGTTCTGAAATGTCCTCCCTTTTTGGTCACCTTCTGGCAGAAAAGTCTGAATTAGTCTAACCAAGGAGGCATCAGATGAAATCCCAGTGATGGATGTAGCTCTAAAATCTTTCACTTGTGCCAAAGTATTATTGGCACACTGTAAAGAAAATGTTCAAATACAAAAAGTTGTCATGCATTTGAAAATGTACTTGAATAAAAGTATGTAATTCAAATCAGGAAGATGTACTGAAAGATTTACAAGTAGAAGTTCTCAGTGGAGAAAAGTAACTCCTGTGACTTATTTCATGAGCTCTTCATTTATATTGTATGCAAACAATCTTTATTCTGTGTAAGTTACTAGAGGCTGTCAAATTTATTCTAGATGATTGAAAAGTACAGTTTTCCCCTCTGAAGTATTGTGGAGTAAAGGTATCATAAAAGAGAAATAGAATATAATAGAATAGACTAGAAGTTTATTTATAAAGCACATTTCATTACAGGTAAGCTCAATATGCTTTACACTGAAGATTAAAAAACAAAACATAGGAATACAAGAGACAAAATAGCTGTCTCAACAATCATGACTATGATACACAAATCAAAAAAGTACGAAAACAAAAACAAAACAAAACACTTACACATACCCACAAATACACAAAGAGTAATTATTTGTATGCTTGAGAGAATAGATAGGTTTTGAGTTTGGCTTTGAAAGTAGAGACAGTTGTGATGGACCTCAGGTCAGCAGGGAGTTTGTTCCAGAGAAAGAAATAAAGTACATTTACCTTTTATGTTTTTTATTTTTTGCTCAAGTACAGTTCTTGTTTATAGGTAACATTCCACCGCTGTAAAACCTTTTAGACTAGCAGTAGAGCACGGCCTTGAACCCCAATGCTCAGTAAGTGTAAACCTTGCACTATTAAAGCCTTGCACTATTAAAGCCCGAGCACAAACCTCGTAGCGATGACTCTCTTGGAATGCAAGGAATTACAATGTTTTCTTTTCGCCAAAACAATCGCAATTTTGGGGGCCATTTTTATTTGAATTTTAAAATTCTGTAATTTTACAGACTTCGGTTTTGAACGAACCCTTCGCAGGGGAATTGTTGGATCATTGCCAACATTGGTCAAATTGTTGTGGACATATTGAGATTCAAAAAAAGAGAGTCATATGTCAGCTGAACATGTATCTGTATCTGAACTAAATTTCATGTGGTTGATGAGAGTCCCAACCTGAGCACAATTGCATTAGAACTTTTGATAAAAGTTGCAGCGCCACCCTCTGGCCACAGTTGTCACATATGATTCTCACTTGGTTGGCCAAGTTTTGATTTTAACAGCCATAAAAACTCAAACTGTTTAAACTTAGCAATGAATCATCATTTCTGAACTAGATTTGTATGCTTGTTTGGAGTGTGCAACATTTGACACTCACAGCGCCTCCTACTGGCAAATTCAAGAAGTGTTTCTACAAGGTTAAACACATCCTGCTCAATTTTTTTTTTCAAATTTGTGTCCTGAGATTGAGGGCAAATCCCAACATACATGAAAACCTGACATACATCAAACCTGACATGCTCAGGGGTTTGAGCATCTGTTCAGTGATACTCGCAGCCCTAGCTCATCATTATTTCATCATTCATGTAAGATCAGAGTTAAGCGTTGTAAATGCTAGTGGCCATATTAAAGCCTTTAACTTCTTTTTCAGACATTGCATATTGTTCTTATGGGCTCTTTAGAAACTGGAATATTTAGAATTTGAAATTACACGCAAGGGATTGTTTGTATTAATTGTCATTGGATTTCTATAGATATATTACTATATTTTGAATACTATATGCAGTAATATGTGTGCTTTGTGCACCCTGTATGTGTTAGTCTTGTTATGGTAAACATGTGTCGTTAGTGTGAGCTGCTGTTGTTATCCTGTAATGTGAAACTTCAATCATTAGACAAAAAACCTGTTCATGTTTTGTTCTGTATTATAGAAACAAATTAGTGCCACCTGCTGGTTATTCAAATTAGAAGAATTACCAGACCACCGTTTTTCACACCATTCAGCCTCTGGATGGCATGCTTGTTACAGGATTGTGTTGTACTTCACTGTCTGTGCTTTGTAAAATGTGAATACAGTTTAAACTTAAGAGATCTGTGGTTTGCCAGTATATAAGACCTTAAACACGACACATTTTCTTGACCATTTGTTACAGCACATTATTAATATGACTTGATAAATGCTGCATGTTCAATAAATTGCAACTAACACACTCTGAATCATCTTTTTGTAACTGTTTTTTTTTTAAACTTTTAACACATATATAATAAAATAATTCAGTTACACCTCAATCTCTGTCCATATAAAGCCTCAGTGTATGAATATCAAATGCATTTTTTGTTTGTATGTATAATATGATTATTAGGCACCAACATCTTTACACTTTCTTTAATTTTACAATGTCATGGTTCCTTTAGCTGACCCAAGCCTTCAGGTCTAAATGCAGGAGGATGATGTTTGTGTGCTCTGTCTGGCAAACGGCCAGTAGCAGGGTTAAATATCCACCTAGCGAGTGTCCAGTAACAGACCCGTCTCCAAAGGCCTGTATTAAATCATACACGTGCTGCCCTAGAACAGAGACCCACAGCCACAAGCAGCTTGTTTTAATCCCTAACCTGACAAAACAGTTTTGTGATGCACTTAGCGGGGTCATCCTACATGTCTCTCTGAAATGTGTCCAGTGATTCATCTGTTTTTCTGCAGCCAGCTTAGATTTGAAAGCTGTCGCCTGTTTTGGCTGAGTGTCATTAAATTCAAACTCACTCACCAAAACTGGCACAGAGGTGGCAAACTGAGTCAGAAGATCTACTTTGGTATTTCTGGGCAAGACAAGAACCCCAGCTGTCCTACATTTAAAAAAAAAAAAAAAAAATCTAAACAGGTAAGTTAAAGTATCAAGAACAAAAAGGGTGTGGCAGATGTTTCCTTTTTTTGTGTATCATGTTTGGTTTATTAATTTCTTCTTCATTCGTTCAATTCAGACTTTATGTTTTCAAAAGGCACATACATCAAAATAACTTCAGTATGTCCTCTTTTTTTTTTGCCAAATAATATTGTTACCATTAACTATACCAAGTGGCCACCTGTTTTTCAAATACAGAAATGCAATACATGTGTTTTTCCTTGAAAATATGTAGGATTTTTTTATTACGAGTGGAAGATTTATTTTGCTTTAAATAAATGTGTATTTAAAGAATCTACCTTATTTGCTAAACAATAAAACACATAAATATTTTAATAGCCTTTTATAATAATTTGGTATAAATTGGTGGTTCATTGACAGCTTTAGGGCCAAACAAAATAAACAAAATAATATCTGTAGTGGAGGAAACTAAGAGGTTAAAAGTACCAGTGAGTGCCACTTCTAAACTAAATTCTCTGATTTTATATTATCTTATATGGAGATTAATATTCATACAAATGACAAGAAGCAAATAAATTGCATGCGTAAAGTATACTATACTTCTCTATGTAACCTACATAAAGCGGGTGGTTATTTGCAGTATGTACTTGTATAAATATAGCCAAAACTTTTAATCCGGACTCATAACACCACTCTGCTGTACAAACATAAACACGGATGACTGTACCATGTCTGACGCGGAGGGGTACTGGTGTAAAGTTTGGTCAAACTGTGCCAAGGAACGAAAAACACTTAATAATGTTGCTCCAGAAGGGCGCATTTGTAATATTCACCTTTGTTTAAGCTCATAGTAGTAAAAACAAGTACTTGGGATGTATTTTATTGCAAGTGTTTTCTGCTTTGAGTGTATAAAACTGTGCTTGGTCCCCGGGTGGCTGAATAGAGTAGAACAATCCAGTAGGCAGAGTAGACTGGGCAGTCCGAAGACGCACGGTTAGCGAGACAACTATCAAACTACGGCGGCCTTACAAGTCATTTAAATGACCTAAATTATCGCCGCCGGTAAACAATGTGACCAAGTGAGGACGACGCAGTGGGGAGGACTGTCAGAAACACATGACAACCAACTTCGGTCGGTTGAGAGAGGCGCGCCATGGAATCTCAGCCGAGGTAGGCAGACTGAGCTAGCCTGCTAGCCTGTTAGCTCCACAGCCCTGTTTGTGTCTGTTAATTAGCCTCGACACGGTTAACCTGCAGCGCACTGTTTTTTTTCCACGTCTCTAAGTGGGGTTATGGTTGGAAACTTTTTCAAAGTGTGTAAAGGAAGGCGGTGTGCTCATTTTGATGTCGTAAATGTTAAACTGACATGCAAGGGCTTTCGCTTGACAAGCAATTCGAGGGAGAGGTGGAATCAGCTGGAAAGAGCAGGCTGATGTGATTTCTACCAGCTGGTCAAAGAGGAGGGAGGGGGGGGGGTTGTCATATTCAAACATTAGGCTATACATGTAAATACCTCTTAACATTTAACCTGTGATGTTTGGATTTGTTGGGTGTCGGATCCAGAAGTTGTAAAAGAGATGGAGGCTGTCTGTAAGTTCATGTAATTTGTGGACTATTCCTTTAAATCACGACCCGTCCCGAAACTCCCAACATATAATTTTGGGCAATGTTTTATAGAATTCATTTATAAAGCCTCCTAGTTTGAAGGGCTTTCTTTTTTTATTTTTATTACTGACCTAAATGCACACGTATGCTTAACATTTATTGGAATGAAATGGCTGCTTAGATTTATTTAGAGAGTTATGAGAAAGAAAGCAGCTCAAAGACATTGGAGGGAGATTCTCTCATCTTCCTTTGGGATGCTTATTTCATGCTGCTTCTAAGCCTTCTGTGCATACAGTTTGACAGTAGCCTACTGTTCTTCCATAGTCTGTTTGCAAACCAAAAAAATATCTGCTATTATAAGCTAGAAAATATATTGTGAAATGTATACTTTTCTGATAGTGGCACAACATTTTGGCACAAAGTTTGTATGCTTTTAAAAGATCCCTAGAAGTGTGTCATACATTTTCAAACAGATTTGCCCGATAACCATCGTTGCAGAGATTTTAAATAAAATATTTTTTGGGGAGAGAAAAAAAAACAGTTTAGAAGTGTAAATAAAAGTGCACTTATTAGTATATTCTTGCACATGTTAATATAGGGTGATTTCAGCAAAGAGTATGTAAGCAAATCTAACAATTAAGAACACACAGTGCTGTCAGAACATGATTTTCACCTTTTGAACCCTTAATTATGTCACTTACTCACTCCAGGTTTGCCTCTGTCTCCAGTGGCTCTCCTTCTGTCATGCTAAAGGAGGCTAGTATTTATGATGCACTGTGTGGAAATGACTTGTAAAATATGCATTGCAAGTAAAGTTTAAATGATTTGCTCTTTAGTATGAATGGACCCCGAAACAGGAATAGGTTTTAAAGATTTTTGTAAACCAGTTGCTGCATATTAAAAAAAGAACAGTGGTCGGTTTTTGTGTACTGTTTAATTCATGTATTTTAAAGATCAGATGTTTAAAAGTCATGGTCTCTATCCCTTTTGTAATGTTGTACCAGGACCTGTGCTCTGGACATAATTACAGTGTTAAATGTAACCCCCCTCAGAATCGTGAACTTGTTTCAGAAGTTGTTCTGCTTCAACTTTGACTGGATGGTTGATTGACTGGAGTCATACTGACCTTAGATTTTATGGCTGTTGCCTCTGATTTTGTTTTGAATTCTATACGTAGCAAATTGGTATCCCTGAATCTGTATCATCAACCTTCCTACTGCTCTTCTTTTTTCCATTTCCCTTTCCAAAATGAAAAAAAGTATTTGGCTTCAAATGTTTTACTTTCATCCCCCCCTGTTTTGCAGTTACCCTACAAGTACTGCTTCCCTTTGGTGGGTACGGATGATAGTGGAAATGAAAATTAAGTCAAGGTGTCAAAAATACTCCAAATGGAAGTTTGCATTATGACAGCAGCAATGTGTGCTGCTGCTGTTTACACATAAAAGATGAACCCACCTGTGTGTATCGTCATTACAATTTGTGTGTCCACTCAGTGCTTCAGTCTTTACATGGAAATTACTTGTACTGTATTCTGCTTCTGGCCTTTTTATTACAACAATTAAATATGTTATAAAATAATATTTTGTGTTTCAGGCTGTTGTATTCTCTTGTGTGAACACTTTACCAGATTAGACATAGTACTGCCTGTGTGTTGCTGTGTTCTTTGTTGTATGCTCCAGGGACAGTGGGGGGTCCACAGTATCTTGATTTTGGGGGCTGCACGCTGAAAAGTCATGGGAGCCGTTGGTCTATTGGATCAGAGTTTAAACACAACTTGAACCACTGTCACAAATATTGTTTAAAAAAAAACAACAACTCTCAGACCTAAAAGACTATCGTTTGAAGGCATCGTTATGATAGAGCCTTTTCTGTATGGGAGCAATGGCCATCATTCAGGGGCTCCTAATATAGTCAGCTGTGTTCTGGGCCAATACTTCCTTTCCCTTGTGTTGACATTTTTTACACTCAGATAAGCATCCTAAGAAACTAGAATTGAGTAGGAGTCAGAACAGATCTTCAACAGGATTGTTTGCTGCACTCATTTGCAGACTGCAGAACACAGATATTGTGAAATATTTATTAAATTATGTATCAGCTAAGTTATGATTAGTAAGCTTGTACTCATTATTAAGATGAGTTCATTGTGCAAGAGCTAATACTCAAAACGTGTAGTTTATCTATAATTTATACTCTGATAATGTTTTCAAGCACTCTCCCAATCAACGTGTAGAAACATTAACAAAATGCATGTTTCATGTTTGGTTTTGGAGGTACGTTTTTGTAGAAACATCGTGTTCCTTCACCCCTGGGTGATGCTGTAACAGGACCTGTGACTTGGCAGTGCACGTTGGTCTGTACCAGTGGTTTGGCTTGTGTCTCAATTAATGAGTGAGTGCTCATCTGTTTGGCTATATCCCAATTCTGGGATGCTTCAATTGTTGCCATGGATACATCCCTCTGGGGCGTCTGACAAGGATCAACAGCATCATTTTGGAAAGAAAACTTCTTAATTTAAAGTCTAGACAAGTTTGAAGTTTAGTTTGGTCTATTAAAAGTGTTAAACGGGGTCTGTTGTTGTCCTCAATGTATTTTACCACATTAAACAAACTCTATCTGCCTTTGGGATCATTTCAGGACTAGTGGTCGTTATAACACATTTGATGTCTGCCAGGGCTGCCTGTCATCTTTTGGGACCAACATGTCGTGAACAGATGTGAATGTTTTGGTGAATCCTAATGGAGTCTGTGGGTCTAATTGCACTTGTCTGTGGATATGATGGGCACTGTCTACTCCCATTAGACTCTGCTGCTCCCCTTCCCCCGGGGTAGACCAGTCTATGAAAAGATGCCTTAAATTTGCACTCCCTAAATTTGCTTGTGTCTTAAGCCAAACCTAATTTTATCAAATAGAGCAGTCATTGTTATTATTCTGTGGGTCATAAAACACACAATACGAGTTGTACTGAAGTTGTTTAAAGTCTTTGAGTTTTAGAGCATTTAACTATAGAAAGAACATAAATCCATCTCATCTCTGGCATTTATCTGGGTTATGTATTTAGTGTCACAGTTGATACGATGCATTTGTAAATGAAATGCCGATTTATTAAAATATTTATTTTGTAACATTATCCAGTGTGTTCAATGAAGAGAGGAACATTCTCCGCCTCCGAGCATGGGAACAGAGGAACCAAGAAGCAAGCCAAGCCAAAGCGCTCAACCAAGAGAGCATGCCACTCTTTGGGCAACCATACAAGGTAAATAACTCTTCGATTATTATGATGTTGATTGGTTTATTTTTGTCCATTTTAGTGTCAACAGCAGTGAGACCCAAGGCAGGGCTTTATTGTAGTTTGTTTGTTGTACTTTTAATTAGGGATGTAAAGGTTAATCGTGATAAATCGATTCAAAGGTGACAAGATTCACATGGGTACTCTGAAAAATGAATCGCAATAATATGGCGAGCGTCAGCAGCTGCAGAGCAGAGGCGGTTGGCAGCTGCAGAGCAAGATTTTGAAATTGAGGACGCACCACCGTCTTTTTGAAACGGAGGTGTGGAAACATTTTGGCTTCCCCAAGACAGAAAATGAAAGAGGTGAGAAGATAGGAGACAAAAACTGTGAGCAAATATTGCAAGAAGACAGAGAACTACACAAATAGCACAACCAACATTATGCAGCGTTTAACAGTTTAACATACACCACAATGAGAAGCTCCAATCACCTCCCCTTGTTGCGAGAAAAAAACATTAAAAGGCCAGACCACACTGACAAGCGTGTGCAGCCCCTAAAGGAATCTTTTTCAGTCTTAATTTGTCTACAGTCTCATTTTTGTTCAAATCAATCGTGAATCCAGTATCGTCAATCTTATCATAAGCTGAGTGAATTGTAACATCCCTACTTTTAATTTTGAATCAACATTTTAGTGTCTTCGATTGTGAATATTAGGACTTTTTCCATCTTCACACAAAGAACATTAAAAAAAAAAAAAGGAATGGCAACTTCCTGCATCTTGTAAGAGACTATGAAGTGTGCCTTAATATGTTTGATATTTTACTTGAGGAGATTGCAGGACTCATTCTGTGTGCTCTCTCCCTCTGAGGCTGCAAATATCTCAAAGTCGTCCATAAATATGACGAGACATTCTGTATGTAAAGTGAGAGGCAAAAAGGGTCAGCAAATCGCTCACTGCTGCTCTTAAAGTTTAATTACTTCGAGTGCAGTCGCTGTGCGCATGATTGTAATTGAAGGCGACTCAGGTGACATCAGGTTTTTGGGTTTTTGGGGGTTTTTTTTACTTACTGCTCTCTGCTCTGGGCAGTCGCAGCATGAAAGAAGACTTATATTGAAGTGTGAACAACTATACATGTTGGCAGGAAAATAAAACAGGTTTTTTTAAACAATTTGTGACAGAAATTACAGACAGGGTTTGTAATCAGACCCCTTTTTTGCAGAAAACCTCAATCTTTGCGGTTTTTTTTCTTGCAAATATTTAACAATTTTTGAACTTCTGCATAATCTTCATTACAGGTTGAAATGGCTCACTTGCAGTTAGTAAGTGAAACATTGTGTAAAGAATACTATAGGGAATTTTAGTGGCAGAAAATATAATTGAGGACTATTCCTTGATTATATAGACGTTGGCAGCTGTACTGTATATTTTGGAAAAAACCCAAAAGCTTAAAACATTTGGTGGTACACTTATACCTGTTGTTATAACTACGTGTTTACCCTGTTTCTTTTTGTTTTTTTAGACAAACAAGGGGGATGAGCTTTCCAGTAAAATCCAGAAGATGCTGGGAAGTTATGAAGATGTGAATAATCCCAATCCAGTTGCTGTAGAGCCATTGCCCATTCCTTCTTATGTAACCTACACACAGTCTGAGCAGGGTCTGACAAACACAGATATATCAACACAACCTTCATTCCATAACCAGCTCTGTAACATGCCCAACCAAAGTCAGAGAGCTCCATCAAGTAGCAGTTACCCCTCTCAGCCCATGAGGACGTCTACTGCTTTTTCTCCTAACAACTGTGGACATCTATCAACTCTTTCAGCACATCGACAAAAGAATAGTGAAGCCCATTCAGATCACAGGGAGCAGGAGATTTCTTCTCTGTGTCCGGATCCTAAGCAACTACCGTTTCTACGTGCCAGTGACCATGAAAACACCGACATGGATACGAAGGACACCTTTGATAGACATCAGTTGCAGAAATCCACAAATGACCCCGCTGAGTCTGGCTGCACAGTGGAGGTTTCCACGTTTAACCTCAAACAGTCCCCCAAAGATGCACCCCAGCCTCAGGGCAACAAGGGTAATGCACTACCCTCCCAGACGTTCCCTTCACTCCTGTCATCTAAGCAGCCCTGTGTAGTCATGACCCAGAAGCCAACAGCGTATGTGCGACCCATGGATGGCCAGGACCAGGTGGTCAGTGAGTCACCTGAGCTAAAACCTTCACCAGAGCCATATGTACCTCTGCCAGAGTTTATCAGCAAATCTGAACAGGGCAAAGGAAAGATACTGCCACAATTTCTGGAGGTGAGTATATCATCATTAATCACAATAAATTCACTATCGCAGTAAATATTATCATTTCAAATGAACTATTGTTGGTCATCTTAAGTTGCAATAAAGAAAGAAAATAGTTGGAAAAAGCTGGAGTGGACAGATATAGATGCTTAAATATCCCTTTTGAATCTGCGACTTGCAGCTTTTACATAACAAACACAGAAAGGGTAAAGCTTTGTAGGTTTGTTCTTTAAACAAATCCAAGTGTGCCGTTGCCAGTGTTTATGCCAAACCAAACTAAGCAGCTGCAGACTGTACCCTTTTGTGTTTGGCATTCAGACGTGTTTGTATCTTCTCCCCTTACCCTGAGTAAGACCACAAAGTTTGCCACTCATTTCCTGCATGTCAGTACCCAATTTTTCTTTTTGGAGCCAGAGGTGACCATATTTGGGCGTCTCAAATGGATAGAGATTAGAAAAAGTTGGTGAGGTACAGGAGGAGACACATTAGTGAATTGAGAAAGACCTGAATAGTAATGGAGCAAGATGGTGCTAGAAGACTCGCCTACTCGAAATCAGTTGTGGTTGTGCAGGTTTGCAGTGCAGTGAGTCATTGGAAACATGTCAGACATGCTAATACGTTTATTTTGTAGCCTTATTGCTCAGCACTGTTCTATAGGCTTTGAATATACTGTTACTGTGGGCTAAGAGGATTGTGTGTTTGCTGATCCCAGGCTGTTCTCTGAAACCACTACATAGTTTTGATATTCTTTCTTGACTGTTCAGGTGTTTGAAAAAAGAAGCTTATAGTCTTCCAGAAACCCCAATTCAACTCCCTTCATCTTTGCTCTGTCTCTCTCTCACACATGGAAAAAAAAAAAAAAAAACACAACCTTTGCACCTGCAGCGCCCCACACCTCCCCCTAACTCTCCTGTGGCTGAATGTGCTGCTGCTTTTCAATACTGGGACTGATCCAGTACAGGATAGTTGGGCGGTTAGTCGCTCTCCTTTTTTTTAAAACGGCCTTTAAGGCTCAATAAGCAACGTAAGAAAAAACAGTTTCAGTTTTGGAAACATTCATTTTCATTTTAGAGACATATGATCTCTATAAGTTAAACATTTTTTACTCAGATGTATAGCTTGGCGTATGTGGCAAGCAGTCGTGGTTTGTGAGTGATTGTTCGGTGTGTGTGTGTGTGTCTGTCTGTGTATGTGTGGTCTCAGCTGCCTCTGATAACTTCACCCCTGGCTCAGCAGAACAATAAATGAGCTTTGTCACCAACTTGCATAACTGCTCTGGGGGCCAGTTTACTGTGGCCTTATCTCAAACACTGCTCATTCAGAAAGAAAGAAAACGAACTGAAATACAGCCTGTTGACTCTTGGCACGCACGCACGCACGCACGCACGCACGCACGCACGCACGCACGCACGCACGCAGCATTTATCTGATCTTGTGGTCAGCATGTAGCTGTCTGATACAGGGTGTTGCATCACTATAGTCCAATGTTTGAGGCTTTTGTTAAAGGTGCTTAAGTACAGATGTTAGTTGTTTTTTTTTAATCCCCATATTATATGCGTCGTTTTTTTTCCTGAAATTAACACACATTTACTAAAATGGAAACGGGGAAAGGGAATATATATAACTTAATTTTAGAGATGCACTTTTTGTGTAGATCTGGTGAATTCTATCGCTTAATAAAAACCTCTTCCTCTTCCAATGTTCAGCGAATAAATCAGTGAAGCCCTACTTAAAACTTGATTTAGTTCTCTACAATTAACAGATGATTTGCAACATTGCAGGTTTAATAAGAAGTCGAAGTATAACTTTAATAGGTACTGTATTACAACTGTCCTTAACCCGACAAGAGATGGAGATAAATGGAAGTTCACTAACTTTTCAACCACTTTAAAGAAGTCTCAGAGCTTCTCAAAACATGGCTGTGAAGTTTCTTGTTCTAAATCCACTCTGATCCTGTATTTGATCATGACTATAAACCCCTCTATTCCAGAACAGGCTGTTTCTGTGTCTGTAGCTTTGAATGTAAATGAGCTGTGTTTGACCACGCCCCCTCTCTGGAAGGGCTTGGATGGCTCAGGCTTTCTTGCACCATGCACCCTATTGTTTATGGTAAGAAGGCAGACCCACCTGGGGGAGGGGTTACTGCCCTTTGTGATGTCATGAAGGAAAAATCTCCAAGCGGCCTGTTTGAGCAAACATTTCCTGAAAAGTGGAGCAGGCAGAAGACAGAGAGGATGGACTTTCTTATAATTGGGGGGTTTGTAGACAGACTAGAGACACATATAAGTGTTGGATAAAAACATGTATTTTTATAAAATATGCAATCTTTCATGTTTTAAGTTGAAATATTTAAATACAAGGAAACAGTAAAGCATAAGCACCTAAACCATATATGATTTTTCTGTATGTCAACTCATTATTATTATTGGTCTCTTCTCCACAGACGAGCATGAATGAAGCTCAATGTGTGGAGGACATCTTAAAGGTAATGCCAGCTTCTTCTTTTTTTTTTTTTTTTTCTGTTTTTTTCCATCCATCAATGTTGTTAAGGACGTCAGTTAAGCAATGTTTGGGTTGCAGTACCAGTTTTGCCAGATATCATGCCACATTCAGAGTTACCCTTTAAAGATCACTGGTTTGTCCATTTCACAAAGTTGTTTACTTCGTTTGGTTCTGCCAATATTATTTCTTTAATTTAAGGTAAACTACCTATTACATCATATGAATGAGTCAAGTTCTGGAAATCCCTTCTTTCTTTATCTGGCTTGTAGCTAACTATAATGTGTGATGTTCTTTAAGGGAACTCCAATGTTTTTATTATTCTCTTTTCAGCATAAAAATCAATAAATTAAAGTTACCAGCACCAGAAAGACTCAGGGGAAGGTGTACCTGCAAGAACTGATTATTCTAAATAGTGTGATAACATCTTTGTAGTTATGTGGTGAAATGCTCATCACATATTAAATGTTTTCTTTCCCCCTTGACAGGAAATGACGCACTCATGGCCTCCACTCCTAACAGCGATACACACACCTGGCACAGGTGAACCCTCCAAGTCCCCTTTTCAGACTAAGGTAAGAGCTAACAGGTGTGGAATGATGAAATATGTCTTGAATTGATTGACTCTGGCAATTCCCATTTGAACATATGTGTGACTATAATGAGGGATCTTGGTTGCAGATGAAACGACTGCTCTCAGGACTTTGTCCTTTGTCCTCTCTTTGAATGTCTAATTAACAAAACACACTTCCCAACTCCTGATGCTTTAGTAATATTTCCTCTGTTGTAACCAGGAGGTCAACATTGTTACTTACAGTAGAATGGACTCTCATATGGCAAAATGTAGATTCACTATCCTGCACTAATCACACATGCACAAACTCCTGAAAATTGACTGAAATCTTCCGGGTGAGCTACGTATGTAACCCACACAGCCACATTTCCACCCTGACTTCATGCTGAATTTGTCCTGCCAACCCCTCTAGTGGAATTTCTGCAAGAAGTTGGGGTCAGAGGATGTGTGAATGCAGCAGTTTATACTTATATTCATGGCGAGCGAGGTGATGACATATATCCTGAGATCTGAGCACAACTGATGTGTTCATCGTTCATGTAATAAAACAGCTTTATTATGTTTTTCGGGTTGCCAGTATGTTCTTCTCTGCTCATACGTTTGTTACAGGTAGCACTGATGTAAATTCAGAAATTGTCATCGTAGCATTAGACTCTGCTGGTCCTCTGCTATCTTGACATGTCCTTTTACTGTCTTGCCTCCTGGGACCCCCCTCTCTCATTTTGAACGAGCAAGTCTGGAAGATTTAAGGAGCAGACTCTTAGTTTTTATGGAGATTTTCAGGAGTGAATGTGCAAATGGCTATAAATTGGATGATTTAGCTGAGTGCTTGACCTATTTGGATTTACCAATTTAGTTTTGAATTCACAGATATTTGTTCCCCTAAAAAGTCCCACTTTCTGATGCAGTCAGGATAGCTTACAGTGTTGGATCGCAAGATTAACACACATTTGTCGAGGACCCTCATGTTCAGAGTCTTTTTTTTTTTTTTTTTTTTTAGTTTTGAGGATTTAAGGTCAAGACGAGTTAATGACTTTTGCGTAAATGTAGGTCTGTGTGGACGGAGCTAAATCAAATGATGGTTTGACCCACATTAAAGCTCTCTCTTTGTCTTTGTCTTCACAGGAAGCAGAGCGTGTCTCTTCATGTCCAGGTCAAAGTAAGTAATGAGGGAATGAAGCAGAGTACAACTCAGACGCATCTGGAAAATATGACTGTGCAAAGACCTTTTTAGAGTCCATTAAGTATGTAACGATGCTGAAGGCAGATTGATAGTGATAAATATCAACTTCTCTTTTATTTCACTTCTCAGATAGTCTTGTCTTTTTTAAAAATGTTTCAAACAAGAATTCTTTGGTAACTTATAAAACCACCATTCTGTTAACTGACAGCAACAAACCAGCAGAAAGAAAGAAACTCATAACTTGATCTCAACTTAAACTCCTGAAGGAGAGAGAACCATGTAGAAAGTCCCTTTTCTTAGTCCCTCCTCTTTTACCCATGTTAGATATTAGTCATCACTTGTTGTCATCATCATTGCCTTTGCTTCTCTGATCTATTTATCCATCATCGTCTTTGTATTTCTGATACAAGAAGTTAAATCAGCTCTTCAATTTGGAGGTATTTTGACCTACTTCACCTGTCAGTTCATACACTCCCAGGTCCAGAGGAAATAAAACAGTTGCATCCTGTAACTTAATACTTCTTTTATTAGTGTAGATTAATGTTGTGTTTTCCCAGTTTGAGACCCAATCAAGAATCCAAACTTAGATTTAAAACTTTGATTTGCTAAGACTCGTATTACATTCCAAGTCATGCAGTCAAGTCTGTACAGTTATTACCTCACTCATCTTTGTGTGGCGTGCTCTGTGGCGTCATTCCCGATTATATTCTATTTGAATTAACATTGAGCAAGACGAGCAGTTTTTCGTGCCACAGGTTTGGAATGAAGTTTGACAAATGCAAATAAATTGTGTTACCTTATGGTGACTGCAAATCCACTGAACCCTAGAAATCAATTACACGTCTGATCGTCCTGACATAAAAGACATGGGTATGTTCACTCAGGAGTTAAGTGAAGAAATGGATGCTGATATCAGCTGTTGTAAAGATCTTGCTTATTGATGATGAATCTGTTAGAAAGCAGATGGCCTTTGTAAAGACATCATTATCATCAGATATGTTTTTATTTTCTATAAAGAACTTGTGTTTTTTTCTTCATGATACCAATGTTTGTTTTCTGTTTTTTTTTTTTCTACCAGAAAACTACAATTCCTCGACAGATCCATCCCAGCCCACCCAGCAGAGCTCTTCATCGTAAGTGTTTTTTCAAAGTCAGAGTTTTTGTGCCATAATAAAAATAAAAATAAATTACTTGAGCTGCCAACCAGAAGACCACAGAAAGTAATGGAACTGAAAAAAGTAAATGATAATTTTTTAAAATCTAGATGAAAAGGAAAATGTGACCAGACAAGATGTCATTGTCAGGGTTTCTGACAGTGACAGGACAGAATTACTTTTACCAGATATATTAGTTATCCAAAGTCAGCTGCTTTCAGTTTGTTGTTTATTAAAGTGTTAACATCTGATCATTCCTTTTAAAGAAGCATAAATTTAAGAAAACTCTCACACATGTTATAAGGGGGGCAAATATAGTTTGGTTGTCAATTCATTTGAAAATTATTATTTTATGTGTATTTCTAGAGAACATAAGACAATTGTGTAAAATGTCTCTTAATAATTTCCACATTTTAAAGGGTTTGTTTGTCAAACTCAAATACATCCTTATATCTGTCATAAATGACAAATAAACCGTAGTTTGAGAAGTGGATGTGGTATTTATGTTTGTAAAACAGAGAGGATAACAAACTCAAAAAGATATCTGTAAATCTGCTTTTTGTTTAATGATTTTTTTTGTTTTAGCACTCCTTTTCTGAAAAGTCAGAAAGAAATAACCAAGTAAAATATGTACAAATTAAATAATGCACCATCAGTTTCTTCAACCAACATAAAATATGCACAGTGAGCAGCTCAGCTTGGGCACGTAGGCCACAATGTTTGTGGTCTAATTACAGCTTCAGTGCGGTGTGATATCATTGTGGTGTCTGTGTGCTGTAGTTCATTACAAGCAGCACATTCCAGACGGGTAGAGTCTGCCAGCTCCAGCGACTCAGAGAGCAGCTCCAGATCAGAATCGGACAGTGAGAGCGCCACAGAGGAGCCACCTCGACCCCCAGTGAGCAACTCGGTCAAATCTGAGGTCATTTTCTTCTCGTCATTTTTGTATCTGTATGATAAGAAATTAAACATTTTCTGAATTGTTTTAAAAAAATCTAAACCCTTTCCATCTTTTTGTAGCCTGATGCTCCAGCGGTGACCCATGTTGATTGGCAGTTGGGGAACTGGATCAGGTCCAGTCACAGCTCAAGAAGCGAGAACCAAAGTGTCGCACAGGCCTCTGACAGCCCCCCTCACAAACCGCCTCGCCCAGCACAGAGCACCAATCACTCAGTTGTGGAGGTAGTGGACCCCACCAGAGAGCCTAAACCTCAGGTTTCTTCTCATCAGAAAGAGTCCACTGACAGCCTTGGAAAACTGCAGGTGTGCAGGGAAAGCCCTCAGGACAACTACAACCAGCGAAGTAGCCAAAAATCCCCCTCTGCTGATAGGAAAAGCTGCAGTCGTTTGAGGAAACTTTCATGTAATCCACACTCCTCAAAATCAGCAAAGGCAGGTTGCCCAGAAGTCACTCTCGGCTTAAAGTGTGAGGATGTGGTAGCCACGCGTGACAAAGACCCGTGTTTCACAGACAGACCAAAAGTGAAGACAAAAACTGAACACAGTAGAAAAAGCAAAGACAGCAGTGTCGCTAAAGGAGACGATAAAAGGACTTCTAAACACAAATTACTTGACAAGCAAAAAGTCGAATCAGAGCCTGATGTTAAGCTAGTCCTGCATGGTCAGTGTCCATCGTGCAGGGTTCGATTTCCTAACCCCTGCTCCTGCCCCACCCAGAGTCTTGCACAGCCGGATCAGCTGTCTCCTGCCCCATCAGTCAAAATTAATTGTAGCAAACCAAAGTCAGAGACGATCTGCCAGAAGGGCACCAAGACTCCTCACAAAACAACCCCAAAACACTTGGGAAAGACTGGGCATACAGCCAAAAGTACTCAGGACCCCCACAGGCCTCCCAGATCCCTGCTGGTGAGGATTGATCTAAGTCTCCTTTCAAGAGTCCCTCAGTCCTCAGGCGGCCACCAGGAGACGGGCTGCAAATCCAAGAGATCGGTGCTGGTCGTAGAGCAGGATGGAGGGGGTGGTGATGCTGCTACAATACACAAACTCAGCAAAACCAGCAAAAAGAGTATACCTCACAATGTAAGAATTATAAGGGCTGTTTAAGATGCACTAATGTTTATGTTGAACGGTTTTATTTCAATGTGTGACACATTTCTCTTTTAGGTTGAGGTAGAAATTAAAACTGTTCCCAGGAAGAAACAGAGGCTGGAAAACCAGAATACCTCATCAAGTCATCTACCTGACAAAATGCAGTACGTCCCTTGAATTTGAGACATCCCATGTGTAGTTTAATTCATTTTTCAAAACACTTTAACTTCAAATGTTCAAAAATGTCTTCAAATCACACAAACTCTCCTCCTGTCAACTGCAGGTCGTCCAGCATTTCAACAGAGGGCTCGGAGCGGAAGAAGGCAAAGAAAAATCCTTTGCAGCAGCCTGGGAAACCCAAAGACTCTGAGAAAGACTCAAAGTTACACAATAGGCTGACAGAGGGGGCACAGGAGGGCAGTAAGAAGGCTGTTGATAGCAAAGACTCGCGGAAGAACAAGAGGCGCAGCGGAAAGCCCACCGAGTGTCCACAATTAGAGAAGGTGACAGTCAGGATATTAGACCATGGGGTTTCACTATTAGATTAATAAATGACTTTCTTTCAAGAGACGAGCTGCATGTTCTCATGGTTGTTGTTGTCATGGTTTTCATTGTTACCAAATTTCTCTCCTGCCATTCTAGCAAAAGCTCCCAAAGAGCGGCGCGGCGTCATCTTCACAGTCCACCAGGGAAGCTTTGACCCCACGGCCCCTGCTCCGGTTAGAGGACAGGTAAAAAGCTGTTTTAATCAAATCGTTGCTGTAGTTATTAACAAGAACACTTTTTTGTTTATTTTGAATCAGGGATGCCAACATTATTAAGGCTCCCATGAGCAACTTTTGGTTTGTGTTGATTTTGGCGCCACAGTGTGAACAAAGCTGTATGTCTTTTTTTCCTAAATTTTGTCCTCAAACCTCAAAGTCGGGTTTGTTTTTGAACAAAATCTCATCCTGCTTTCTTTTGCAAGTTGGATGTATCACTCAACAATCTTTGAGGTGGAAAATGTAAAAAAGAAGAACTCTTGTTTTGGCAGCATGCAGTAAATCCCTCCATATGAAACCCCCCAGCTGCAGTTTCAGACATTACAAATAACAGAGTAGAAAGTTCATGCCAATAGTCTCATTTGCTTTTGAAAGTCATAAAGCGGCATCGACATTGATTTCAGTTTATTTAATTTCAGTGTGAAACTCCTCAAAGAAGCCTTAAGCTCATAAGTTGTGGACAGCCATGGCCCGTCAATTTTTTGGGTGGTTCAAAGTTGAAACAAACGACTACCGTACTTGGACTGAAAAAAAATGTCAGGCCATAACTCAAGAGTATTGACACTTTAATCTTAAAAAAACACTTGAAAAATTACGTTTCTGGCCGTAGTTCCACTTCGATTTTTGTGGAGTTCATATCTCAGGCACACCTGGAGCAGTTTAATTACTTGTGGTTTATTATTCTGTCTATGAAAGTGTTCAACTACACCTGCTACAACATAAGTGGACAGAGTTACTGACCCCACCCCTCATGGTTCTGTTGACCCACATGTTCCCCCTGTGACTGATAGCCGGTTGTTTTGAACTGCAACTTCACGGGTTACATACAATGAGAGGCTCTAATTCTAATTCTGTTAAGAGCTGGTAGAAGTGTATTCTAACTCGCTGGTTTCACCTGTAGGCAGTATCCAGTGAAGCATTACATAAAGGAGGCCAAAAAACTGAAGCACAAAGCCGATGCAGAGGTACGTTTCTCTCTGTGGTTTGAGTTCTTCTCCTGGCAAAGGAAAACCTGCAGTCTGACCATTAAAACCTTAATAATTTATAACCCAATATGTTTGTTTTTTTAAATCTCTTTAGTCAGATAAGCTGAATAAAGCTTTTATCTACCTGGAAGCAGCCATGTTCTTTGTCGAGAGTGGAATAGCCATGGAAAAAGATCCTCAGATCTCAACGTCTTCCTACACTATGTTTGCAGAGACTGTGGAACTGCTCAAGTAAGACCCTCTTAGATCAGAGATGATCTGCACCATGTTCACCTTTTTTTAGTAATTCTGACTGAGCAGAAGTGATGTTTATCTTAAGCTAAGTTCAAAATAAAGGTATAGCATGAATGTTATGGCTCTATGTTCAACGCTCTCTGTTGTCACAGGTTTGTACTGAAACTTAAAAACCCAGTGGACCCCTCGGCCCCTCCACCAGAAAAGGACTTTTTAGCTTTATGGTGAGTGTACTTCAAGTTTCTCCACACACACAGTCAGTGGTTTTGGTTGACCTCTGTCTTGTACTTTTTGAATTTGTTTAGACGTCTGTTACCATCTAAAGATACGGTTCAAAGCAAGAAACAGTTATTTTCATAGGAAAGTGGAAAGTGTTTTCATCATCTGCAATTTAATTTAGGTATTAACTGTCAATGAAACACTGATGTGTAACTTGAGTTTACTTTGAGTCCTTGGATGTAATGCATTAGTGTTTGCTTTAGGGTGATAACTGTGAACGAGGTCAGCTGACTGTCATGTTGACCTGTCTGGTTTGTGTTTGCTTTGATGAGTGCCGTCAGTTTGATGTCATCAAATAACATTTAATCATGTCTTGTAGTTTGAAGTGCCAGTCTCTCCTGCAGATGGCGATGTTTCACCACAAACAAAAAACTGCACTCAAGTACTCCAAGACGCTCTCTGATCACTTTAATGTGAGTGTGAAGCTTTCTCTACAACTCCTACTTTCAAGTCCCATTTAAAAAAAAAAATAAAAAAAAATAAAAAAAAAATACATTTGAACTATTCACAATGTCTGAAATGTAATCAGAAAAAAAAAATAAAAAAAATAATAATAATAAACTTTCCTCAATACAAAAGTAACTGTACATTTTTTCATTTTGCTTTTTCATTTTGTTCCGTTTTCAGATCTCTGCTCAGAAAACACACGACCCCTCTTTTTCAACATCAAAGTAAGTTTCCTGCTTTCAATTTCTGGACATGTTCCATAAAGTTTTTTTAAAGTATTGCACACAAGAGATCTAAATCTTTTTTTTTTATTTTTTTTTTTCCCCGTGTCCTTAAGATCCTCTGACACGCCGTCCCCCATGCCCAACCTGCCCTCTCCAGCCAACACATCCTCCAGCTCAGGTCCAGGCTCCAACCACAGTGGCAGTGGGTTGGTTGTGGACGCCATCGGCAGCACTGTGGCGTTTCCCCAGGCTATCGAACGTGTGGCTTTCAACTACGTCAACATCACCACCTTATTCCTGAGCGCTCATGACATCTGGGAGCAGGCCGAGGAGCTGGCACACAAAGGCAGCGGTAAGAACACATGAAGGAAACTTTACTGTTATTAGGTCCATAATCCAATATTTCATGATGGCTCATATATATATGTGTATATACATGATAATAGACTGTTTACTCCCAATTCTGTTTGATTGTATGCCTTATGCATCATGTCTCTCTAAACAGAAATCATGACTCTCATCAGTCTCCTTTTTTTGTTCAAAGATGAGAAATTGCTAAACAAAACAAAAACATGACGCTGGAGGACATTTAAAAGAGAAATAGAATAATCCCACACAGTCTTATAAAAACACACTGACAATGACAAACTAAAAATAGAGGAAAAAATGAATAACACTAATTCAGTTTCATTGGTTGGCCTTTGAGAAGGTGGAGAGATAAATAAGGGGGGGTATGTTTGTCATTATGCATCAGTCTGCTTTAACATTCACAGTCTGCCTCACACCCGTCACTTTATTTCTTTGAAATCAGATTGTCACAATCCCAACTTTGATGTGATTCTAGTAAAAAATAAAAATACATTAGTTCCTGTTTTGTTACCATGCCAACATGACACCATGTCCTAGTCGACAAAAATATTGGCTAAATTCTTGTTTATAATGACCATCAAATTGCATGTCAATTCCAGCACAAGGTCTAAATGGCACAAATATGTTGGCAGTGTGTTTGTGCAGTTTAGAAGGTGTGCTCTCTCTTTTTCGCTCACAGCAAGTTAGGGTTAGAATGTGACCGAATAGCTGTATGTGGTTTCTAAAGTGACTGTACTTTACAATCCTACTGATCATTGTGAGTAATGTAGATTGTCTAGTTTTAAAGCATGTGATATCTAGAAGTATAGAAAATCAAAACCTGATGCAAAATGATGCTGTAACATTTTTGGCAGCTTTTGTCTTCAGATCCGATGACTGCAGAATCAATTCAGTGGGTCGTACTAAGACATAGGATGACAAAAACATGGACGACCTGCTTCAGATGTAGAGATGTCGTGTTAGTGGCTAAAACATAACTGCAGTGGTGTCCTTCTGTGAGCAGCAGAAAGTACAAGAATTATCTTATTTAGTTTCGAATGCAGCACCCAGTCTTGAAGAGAGATCATAAACGATGCTGTCACTCGGGCTTATATTACTTCATATTATGTTTCAGGTTTGCTGACAGAGCTGGACACAGTTATTGGTCCGTTGAGCCTGACGTCCAGCATGAGCTCGATGGTGCGTTACACCAGACAGGGGGTCCACTGGCTGCGTCTGGACAGCCTCAAGGTAAAGTGACCAACAAGCTGCTCCTGACCTCCTGCCCACCCTTCACGCTGCCTCTCACCACCTTCACTTCTCTGCAGCGACTTAGATATTGAGCTGGACTTTCCCTCATGGCGTGTGCAAGTCGTATTTTTCTTTACATGGATATGAACTCATCTCATCATGAACACAGATGTTGTCTCACGTGTGTCCTCGACGATATTCGCTGATCGTTGCACTTGTTTTTTTTGTCTGATGGCTTCATTGTTTTTTCTCTCTCTCTCTCTCTCTGGCACTTTTTATAAACCAGGATTACATCTGCTGTAATCCACATATTTCACGTCTTGCACATTATGTTCCTCAATCTGCATTTAAAAGTCAAGCCTTTGTTAACTAACCATCATATATACCACTTGAAGGCTCTATTATATACCGCAGCATTATCATTTTCGTTTGGGTGCAGGTACTGACACCAAATCTTTCACTTTAATTTTTTTGCTACCATAATTGGTAAACAATAGCTTCTGATTAGGCAGTAATCTGGAGACCCCCCTTCATGTTAACTTATATTACACCTACCCTGCAGTAATTAAAAACGTGATCCACTGTCCTCTTTCACTCTATATTACTTTGATTGGATTCAGGGATTTCGTGTTGTATTTAATTTTCCATTATTTTTCTTCACAACAAATATCTTTTTCTTCTTTGGCAACAATCACTATAAAGATTCAGAGAGATTCAGATGTTCATGAAATCCAGTGCTGGTACCATTTATTGTAACATTTGTACCTGTAACTCAATCAAATCCTGTTAGCGTTAAGTCGGAAAGTGCGCGATATATAATCGCCTTTCAGTCGTATAATTGTAGTTGATCCTTAAGTTGCATTTGTGTTTTCAGACTTCCTCAATCGGATAAGGAAAAATACAAAAATCTGTGCCCTTCTGTTCGCCCTCTCAGGACAAAACACAGGTTGAATGTAAGTCGAGTCATCTTTTTGAGGTTGTGGCTCTTTAACATAAATGAAGTCAGAACACTTTCTACGTAGAAATCATGAAATGAGGAAACGAAGGAAAGTTTGGAGCGGATCAGGGAAGATACACCTGTATGAGATTTTTAGATTGATTGGAAAGCTGTGAGGTGTGCTCATTTACGGATGAAGAAGTGTGCATGGATCAGGTGTTAGCTTAGCATCGGTGCATATTCAAAGCTTTAGCATTTCTTCTCACGTTTTGGCTTAGGGGGGGTGGAAGAGGTGACTTGGCTGACAAGTAGTAGCTAGTGTGTCAGACCAAAGCAGACAAGAATGTTATTCTCATCATCCTGTTTAAAAAAAAAAAAAGAAAAAAAAAAATTCTGCACTTGTTCCCTCCTTCTAAAGGAAAAAAAAAATCAAATTAGTTCACTTTCTGTGTTGTGACTTGCCACACCCTAAACAGGAGGGATACATTCGACATCCCTGACTTTCTTTGGATAAAGTTTTGGATGTAGTGGTTCCAATTGGCCGTTTTTTAGTTACCTTTCAAGTGTAGTGGAGCTGCTACAGTCGTTAAACAGATCTGAAACTACAGTTGTGTTTCCTTTCTTTGTTTGTGCACCAGTAAGCTGCGCTCCTCGGTTCCCCACACTTTGGTTAAGCAGCAAATGTTGAGTTGCAAAAATGTCAACTTAATCTGTGGGAGTCGATTGAAATGGCCAAAACGACAGCTGACTAAAGAATGCACTTTGTTTTAATATATGTCGTAGATTTCAGAGCGTTATGAAACACAAGGACACGATGATGTCATTGTTCACTTGTGTTGACTCTTTGTTTAGTGTCACTTTGCCTCCAAGCAATAAGGCTGTTTCGTTGACTCACATTTTTGAGTGAGAGGGTGACGCATTGATACAAACGGGGACACAAAAATCAAAGAGAATCAGTATAATATAGTGAGGTGGGGTTAGATTAGGTTTCGACATGTTGGCCTGTATATTGAGTTGCTGTGTCTGTATTCATCCACCATAAAAGGGCTAAACAAAGATCACAAAGTGGTCGTGACTTTTTTTCCTGACATAAACAAAAAGTAGTATTTTTTTAATTAACAAGTTCACCGGTGCCATGGCGTATGGGATTATTTTTTACGTAGAGTTTCTTACCACAAATGTCTTCACTGCTAATTAGGTAAATATGGCTCCATCCATTCATGAACAGTCCAACTGTAACCATTATTATTATTATTATTATTATTTTTTTTGTCTTTTCCAACCTGTGGCTTTATTTCCGTCATCCTTAACTGTCGGTGCTTAATTTATGAATTAATCTGCAACAAGTTTACACTTCTTGTCCGAATAATTACTTACTGGAAAAATGTTCAGAACGATTTTTGAAGGATGCCTTTTTTTCATTTTGTGAAATGTGTCAAGAATTTGTGTTGCAGTGTACAGAGATGAATAAACACTGGAAATGAATTGATCGTTGTTTATTTTTTTCTAAGAACAAAAAAATGAGAGAACAGTCACAACATTTCTAAAAGCAGATGTATTACACCTTTCTGTAAACATGATGAAATTTAACCTTTAATGTATCACAGTATATACAAGAGAGATGGATTTTTTTAGAACTTTAAAGACTTAAAAAAAAACACATTAGCACTGATTCTTAAAAAAAAATCAAATGAAAAGAACTGTACAAAACTTGAGTGATGCTCTATGTGTCTGATTCTCCTGCGAAGTTTGGGTTGGTGAAAGCGGGCTGAAAGGGGGGAAAAAAACAAACAATAATGCACCTTTTTAGTGTTTACACTCCCATAAATGTGGAACAATATGTCTACACCAGTCAGTAACTTACCACATCAACACGACTGGTTGTTCTTGTTGGCAGACTCAGGCTGCTGAGTTTATAACCCCGGATTTTGAACACATAGAACAGCAGTCCAAATATCAAGGCGACAATCACAATGGCTGCAATGATGCCGCCGGCTATCACCCCTCCATCTGTACAAAAGAAACAGCAAATGTTTTTGTTTGTTTTTTCAGCGCGGGTCATTGCATGTTAAACTGTATCTCTTGTTGAGATCTTGGTGCTGGAGGAAAGGAAAAGGTAGAGACTACCAAAGTGAGTAGTATACATTTTCTCTGCCCCAGGAACGTTGTTACAAAGTTTTTAAGGTTAAACATAGACTAACATTGGCCAAACTAGCGGGCTAGCCATGCTGACGTTTGTGCCTGCATTTCCATTTCTACTGTGATGCCACCGGGCCACGTTAAAGGACATTGTATTTGGAGATTGATTAGACTTACTGCTGCTACCAGGACCATCAGTGGGGAAAACTGGATTACCGCCATCATCTGTTGTGTAGTCTGAAATTACATTTCCAATAGAGACATTAATTGGCTGCACAGCATAATACTTTTTTTTTCTTCTTTAAACAACCTTTTCTTTTTCACTGAAACTGCAGAAATGAGCATTAAAGATTCTATCAAAAAAATTATAATTACAAGGAAGCATTGAGACAACTTGTTGGTTTTTCTTTGGGTATCTGATGACTCAAAGTACTTAATTTGATACGAGTGTTTGATGAGCTGTCCTCACTGTGTGGGAGACTCAATTAACTTAATGATTGGTCTCCTAACTTTATAAGCAAAGAGTGAAAGGGCACACAATTTATTTTATTATCTTGTACTTGGATTGTAAGTGGAGTGCATATGTATGAGTGAGTGATCCTTACACTGGCGGTGTCGGCATACGAAGCCTCTCTTGTTGAGACAGTTGTTGTCATTCCAGCGTCCGTCCGCGTACATCTCGACACAGTTCTCTTCAGCCACTTCTCCCGGGTGAAACGCTGCGTTCGGCTCACCCTGTGCCCAGTTGAGGAAGCCAAGAGACGTCCTGTCCGTCCAGCCCCAGCCAACTGGAAGTAAACATCCAAGTTTGAGTAAAGACAAAGTTTGAGGCGCATGGTATTCAAATTACTAAACAGGTGAGCTCCTCCACCGTGAGGGTGATCGGAGGAATGCCCTCCAGCTCTGACAGCTGATTATGTTGGATGTCTGTCCCATATATAAAGACTGTAATTGTTTCTCTAAAGGGGTAACGGCATTTATTCACCCTGATGTTTATTCAGTTTCCTTCCTGTGCTGATGTAAAATAACATAACTTCTGTAAATAAATAATTTGTTTTGTTAAACCACAAACCATATATACAAGCCTCTGTGGCTGCATGGGACTTGGGGGTGGGGGAGGGAGGGAGGGGGGATGGGCTTCTATGTTGTGCTTTGACCACCTCTAGACGGGTCATAAAAAAAACATTCCAACATTTTGAACGCGATCATTTGTTTGCATGTTTGTACACTCACAGTTGTTGTCCCGGGTGAGGCCGATCCAGATGTTGTGATTATTGGTGTAGTTGAGGTTCCTGATGAACTCGACCTCCGCCCTGCTGTGGATAGACACCAGCTCTGCCTTGATGGACTGGCAGTAGTGTTGAGAGTCCGGCCAAGAGAAACCCTGTTGACCGTCGTACACGCCGTAACAGTAGCGGCCGTAGGGCATCCAGAATGGCAGACACCTTCCGTCACCAGGAGCTGGAGTCGGCGGAGGTTTCTCTGTGAGATGATAAAATGCATAGTCAGCAGCGACTCAGGTTTTAGACTGTGAATTAGGCGGGTCTGTGCAGCAGAGGGCCTAAAATAAAAGACTTCAGAATCAGGATTCATACTGTGTTAAGATACCTGAGGAGATCTTGCAGATGTAAGGTTTAGCTAGGTCACACTTGGTGTCGTTCCAGGTCCCGTGGAAGGCGCGTGAACCGTGCATGCTGACGCAGCCCTCGTCTTTTATGTTGCTGGGCTCACCCGGTCCCCACTGAGTGAAGAACACGGGCCAGCCGTCCGTCCACGTGTAGGAGCCGTCCTCCTGCAGCACAAGGAAGTATGAGATGTGTTCGCACCTTCATGTAGTCGATCCACATTGATAGTTTTGGTAGAATCAATCTTAAATCTCTTGAAGCTATTTTCAATCCTCAAGTAAATAATTGTATGTGTGGAAATGCAAAAATAAAACTGGGCCTTCTATAAAGAAGTTGTTTCACCTGTTCACAAAAAAAAGAGGTTAGTGAGAATATATATTTTAATCATAAAAACTAAGTCGTTGATTTTTGCCTTGTTTTGGTTAAATCACTGGAGATCTTGGATTTTCTGCTACTCATTATATTTACTACACTACTTCTTAGCATTGATTTAAGCTCCTGTTATGACTTTTTAACTGGTAATGAATTAAACTGAAATTAATACTGGTGCCTCTTTATGACCTGCTCAAACCAAGAAGACCATTAGGTAACAGTTCCTTCTGACTTTTCACATGATTTTTATTCAAATATCTCTTCAATGCCAAAAGAGGTGAAATCATCCTCATAACAGAACCTTGCGCTTGAGTCCGATCCAGGCGTCTTCTTTGCCATTCAGGACCACTCCAGCGACGAAGGCCTGGTCGTAGCTCATGTCGATACTGGCCAGGTTTCCCCCCTGCTGAGCACAGGCCGTCTGAGCTGCCTCCCAGGTCGCCTTCTCCTCCACCAGCTTGTAGCAGTTCATGTACCAGGAGATGTAGCCGGCCGGGCACGGGTTCTTGGTTGGGGGTGGAGGGTCGATGCTGCTGGCTGATATGGACGCAGATAGAAAAAATATCTTAAAAGCAAGATCACAACAGAAGTTGACCTGCTATATGTTTCCACTAATTCCTGTATTTAGTGTTATTTTAGCATCAAGAAGACAGCTGGGATTGGTTACTGACATTTCTTCCTGGAGCAGACGAAGCTGTGATCCTTATGGCAGGCGTCATCGTTCCACTTGCCGCTCACCAGGTGGTTGTGAGCCAACGCCACGCAGTGCTCCTGTCGAGGGAGACGAGGAGAGCTTCAAGCTTTCTGAGCATGAACATGAGATTTTGAAACACAGTGTAAACATAAGGGAAGTCTCCTCACTGCTCCTCCTGCGTTGTTTGGCTCCTTGTCATTCCAGTTTGTGTAGAGCACAGGGCTGACCCCGTCACTCCACGCATACTGATTCTCTACCAACAGATCTGACATGCCGATCCACGTAGGGAGCTCCAGGTCTCTCAGGTAACTGGACACAAAATCTAGAGGAGAGGAGAGGATCCAAATAAAATGTTAAAAAGCAGTCTCTTTTGCCTGGAGCCACTTGGATGTTTAATTCTCCTAGAATTAGCTCACCGTTCTCGTACTGGTTATCAATAACGGCCAGGTCTCCTCCTTGGTCTTTGCACCAACTCCGAGCATAAGACCAGTTGGCTTTGATTTCGCCTTTCTTCCCTTTGAACATGAAGCACTTGTTGTTGAAACGAATCCAACCTGAGTGAGGAGAGAGTAAGAGTTTGAAACAGGTCGCACGTGTATTTGTACACATGCAAATTCATTATGAAGCGATAATATTACAGTGTCTCTTTTAGAAAGGTTAACAGGTGCCTGTCACTTTGTAGCATAACACACAGGAATTACACACTAAACACAATAAAGTGCCTCTTTGTTGTCAATTGTATACAAAAATCTCTTTATTATTTTGTCTTAATCGCCATGTACTCTGGTTACTCTCTAAAGGCCGTGAACACATTATATGTGAATAAAAAGCTAATAGCTGCATAAAGTATCAATAAGACATTAAGATTTTAATTTTCAATTTACTGTAGATTACACATCAAAAAGCAGAGTCAGTTTTTAGCCTCATAACTTGTGTAACATAGATTATAATGCACAAAGTAACTCTTACACTGCTATTCAAATGTTTTAACACATCTGACTTATTTCTGTTTTAATTGTTTTATTGTTGCTCATATTGCAGAGATGCCACTCAAGTTTTCGTTGTTCTTTGTCTCATGATATTAAGGTTTATTCTATTCGAACACCGAGAGAAACAGTTTGCACTTGGTTTGTATTTCAGAGTAAGAATGGTGACTCTTTCACGTTTAACAGATCCCATTCAAAGAGCAAAACTAAAAGAGTTCAGTTAATTTCTCCATACTTTCTGACTTTCCTTTTGAAGATGTAAGACACAGGCTAAGAAAATATATCATTTCATTTAAAAGAAAATCATTAGATGAAACAGCTGTTCAGTGCAGTATCAGCAAAAGTCCCAACCCAAAGCTGTTATGGATTCTTTAAAAGCTAATGGAAGGAACTTTCCGTTTGTTAATGACGGCGCCCCCCTGTGGACAAAGTGGTAAATATTTTCTCTTTACTCATCTTGTTCTGTACATGTGTAAGTCTAGTCTTCAGATGAAAAATCTCCTCCTGTTATTTGGAAATCTTTACTGTCAGAAATGTAAAAAAAAGGCCGCTGACACTGACAGTAGAGACTGACATTAAAAATGACAAAATAGAAATAATCGTCCTCATGGTGTTGCTTGTTTTGTAGGTCATAAGGAATCCTCAGGATTAATTTTAGTCTGATACATAATCCCTCACAGGAGCTGCAGAAGTACACATTTGTATTTCAAGCAGGATGGTGAATATTAAAGATGCTATATTACAGTTTTTATTCACTGTGATGGAATCATTTTTGTATTTTAAAAACTAAATCTGACCTGCGGGGCAGTTGCCCTCCCATGGCTGTGTGGGGGGAGGAGGGGTGTGGATGTCTCCGGGGTACTTCTTACAAACGTAACCTGCTCCAGCCCGACCACAGTTGGCATCGTTCCATCCACCTTAACAAGCAGGAGATCATTGTTGACATCATCAAAGGGGTTGAACGTTCAACATGCACAATGAAAAAAAAGATCTACAGCATTTTGACTTCATTGTTATCTGAGAGGAGTGCCAGTACCCTGATGTCTGTTCATCTGCACACACTGTTCCTCCCCATTCGCGTTGTTGGGCTCACCCGGACCCCAGTGAGTGTATGTCAAAGGGGAGAAGTCCACCCACCTGCACAGAGGAAAAGAGAAATCTTTGTACAAAGCTTCTGTTTTCATATCATAACAATGCGATCTGAACAGTACTGCACACGTTACCTTTCTACCTAAATCAGCGCATCAGACTTTTATAAGAGATTTAAATGTTGTGTAGAAATTAAATCAATCAGATCCAAAGGTTTAATGTAAATGTGGGTCCCATAGTTTCTGTTCTGTATATGTCTTTAATTTCCTCAAAGTGGTTTCATTATTTGTTTTATGTTTAGCATGATTTGTCTCCAATGACATCCAAACACTCTGAATGCGACAAAAAAATTCAAGTTTACCAAAAAGTAAGCTGTATACAATTATAAAAATCATGATATCTGATATTGAGGATATTTTCCCTTTCACTTCTCCTATCACTGAGAAATACACTTACATGTATTGTCCACCTGCAGTGCCAAACATCCTCATCCCAATCCACGATGCAGAAACCTCGCCTGTTCCCACCTACGACAGCAAAACAGCCAGTAACAAACATATTTCACTGTTACACCTCACAACATGTTCTACTGTAAATATTATATACGTACCATGCTGTTAACGTACGCCTGTTCCTCTTTGCTGTGGATGGAGACGAGTGAGGCCTTCTCAGCGTAGCAGCGTCTCATGGCCGTGTGGAAGTCCACCACGTCAGTGTCGTTGTAGTAGTAGCAGATGTTCTCGTTCTTTCTCCAGCCGGGATTTGAACCGCAATCAGGAGCTGAGGACATATTTACGAGAAATTGCACTAAACTGTCTGGAAAAGTTAAAATCTCAGTCAAAAATGTAAGTTGAACATAAGTGGAAAAAAAAGCTTGACCTCAGATATCTTTGCTGTATAACAAATCCAAACAAAAAAGCTGGCTTGGGATGCTCTACCTGGGACAGGAGGTGGGGGAATTGGGGGCAGGATAGGTTTCTTTCCTTTCGCGATCATGCAGATCCAGTCTTGGTGAGCGTCACAGTTGAGATCGTTCCACCAGGAGAAGGTACCGTTGGTGGTGCTCACCATCTCCACACACTCTTCTCGTCCCTCGTGGTTGTTCGGCTCCCCAGGACCCCAGTTTGTGTGGGACAGCGCAGTGCCATCGCTCCAGGAATAGCCTTTAGGATGAAAATAAGGGGTGTATTCTTCATTGTATTCGAATTCAGCCTTCCCCCAGGGTCCATGCTATAAAACACACATTTTACTGACCTCCTTCTGTGGGGTTGTGTTTGAGGCCGATCCACTTGCTGGTGCCTTTACTGTATATAGATAAAAACTCTTCCTCCGCCTGACTGTGGATGCTGACCAGGATAGCTCCTCTGGAGACGCAGTCCTCATTGGCTGCTCCCCAGCTTTTCTTTTGAGACCATTTCACATCATGGAAGAGCTGCAACACATGAGACAATAATAAATAAACAAGTGCTTTACCCTGCTGAGTGACCATTATCATTTGATTTGTTTTATTGAAGTTTTTATACCCTGTAACAGTGTCTGAACGCAGGCAGAGCCGTCCAGCTGTCAGCACAGCCCTCTGCAGGAGGGGGAGTCGGGGGCTTCGTGGGTGGAGTGATGTCGGGTCTGGGTTTCTCGCAGATGAAGGAGTATTTCTCTAAGCACTGCTTGTCATCCCAGAAACCTCCAACAGCACCGGTTGTCATGGCCACACATGTGCCATCCCCGTCATCTAAAAGTCAAAAGGACATTGGCGTTATGCGATGCGTCTTTATCATCCGCTCCAGCTGGTTGTGGTGTTCGGCCCGTACCTGGCTGCTCTCTGTCCCAGTGAGTGAAGGTCAGAGGTAAGCCATTGTCCCATTTGTAGTCCACCCCTTCACCTTGTCCTCCAGCACGCAGGCCGATCCACCACATACCGGTCTTCCCCGCCAGTGCCACTGTAAAATGTGCCTGCTCGTATCTGCAGTGAAACACAGATACACCAGTGAATTAGAAACTCCGACAGTGAGAGAGATTTAAACATGATTCATCTAAAACCATTACTGATACACCCTATTATCTATTCTAAGTCATGCCTCAAATATGTGCCATATAGATTTCTCAGAGAGCATCAGAACTGTAACATCACGATAACATTTATTAATAACTGGAACATGGGCAAGAGTGTAAAAGTCAAGACTCATTACCAAAAGACTCAAACTACCAAACCTGTAACATGAGGTGTTCCTTAAGGGGTGCTTTAAGGTAATGCAATGAATGACAAATATAAGCATGCTTAATGTGAACATGTTCTTGATCTTTGTGTATGCCAACTGTTTTGAAAATAGAATAATTATTTTAAATATTTTCTATCAAAAATGTAGTGCAAATTCAACAATAATAAAATTAGTTGACGTCTTAGTCCAGACCCAATCAGTGCAGACATGGCCGTCCTTCAGAGTAGTTCTGCTTAAGTTTTTAACGGAGTGTGTTATGCTGTTTTTACTATTTCAGACACATACATGTATATTGTTTCAGTTTAGGATATTCAAACTAAAAAGTGGGTCAAGTTAGAGGAGTTGTTGTTTCGTTATTATAAATCATGCAAAGAGGTTTTACAGAGGGAAAACACTTTAAGAGGTTCAAGACAAATCTCCACAATCTGTTGATTGACGATTTTTTTTTGCAGGTTGACACTTATGATATTTGGATATCTTTTTCTTCCAGTGGACTCACATGTCTCCGATGTGCAGCAGGAAGCCGTCCTGCGCTTTACAGAAGTCCTTAGCGTCAGACCAGCTCCTGCCAGTCTCCTCCATCCAGTAGCAGGCGTAGCCGTAGGCGTCCCAGCCCTGACACGTATTACAGAGGTGAGCAGTGATTTCTAATCGCACAATGAAGCTTTTAGTGAAAGCTATTATAACGTATAGCTACACAAGGAGGGGGCAGAAAAATATAATGTCCTACCTGAGGGCATCCGTATACAGTCGGCTTCACAGAGGGCACTGGGTAATGAGCTTTGGGCATTTTGCAGATGTAGGTGTTGAGTTCTGAGCACGATACGTCGTTCCATCGACCAGACTGAAACAAAGATGAACCACCAAGTTACTGCTTGAGTTTCCAAGTGTGTTACACTTTAATAACTATCTCATCCCTCGCACCTGATACAACATCTCCACACAGTCTTCACTGAACCCGTCGTGGTTGTTTGGTTCTCCTGGAGCCCAGTAGGTGAAGGTCACCATGTGTTCGTCTGACCAGGTGAACATTCCAGGTACAACTAGGTCATTCAGACCGGTCCATACGTCACTGGTGGCTGTGAAACAAAGCAAGGAAAAGGTGGATGAGGTGGGATTTGATTGATCTATAAGGGCTGTATTTTGTACATTTTTCATGTCCTATCTTCTCTGTCTTTCACCTTTTTCTTCTTTTCTCTTCTGAACTGATTTATAATAATGTAATTATCTGATCAATATTCAAATGACGCTGGCTGTGTTTACATGTTTAACATTGAAGCTTTCACTTCCTGTTCTCTTTTAGATCCATACCCAAGTACAAGTAGCTTTCCAACCAGCTCTGCTCCGTCATCGAGCGGATAGATACGAGTTCAGCACCCATGCCCCTGCAGGTGCTCTGGGCGTCGCTCCATGTCTTCTTGTCTTCAAAAGGTTTGTAGCAGAACTCTCCAAACTCGTACCAGTCGGGCCCTGAACACCTCAGCTCTGCAGCAGAGAGGGATGGACTCAAGAGTCGGTTATTGTGGATGACAACAGATATTTGAACGAGATATCAGTCTGCTCTAAAGACATTCATTTCAAGAGACTTTAAAGGAGTCTCGACTCACCTCCATCAGCAAACGTGTAGGACACAGCATAGTTTCCATCATATCTGATGAAAAATAGTAGCTTTGAATTAGCGTTCAAGTTTGGTTTCACCGCACAAAGGCCCAACTCCAATCTCCACCATAAAGACTTGGAGTTCAGACATTTTAGCAAATTATGACCTGGGCAAGTCCTGCAGAACTATGGACCTATACACCTCCATGTCCTTAAGTGTGAGTTTGGGGATTAGCATTGGGCCTATCAAAGGCAAATCATTTGGTTTCTAAAAAAAAAAAACTGCTTCTTACTGTAAGGAAGTGATGCCGTTCCTGGTGGAGCCGGGGTAGAAGTCCTGTCCTTCCTGCTTCAACAGAGTGCAATCTCCTCCGACTTCATTTAACATCACTCCAGCGTGGATGGCTGCAGCACAGATGTTTGAGTCCTTTGAACGACACAGCACAGAGAAAATGATAAATTCTGTTGTTGTTTTTGAAAATCTCTCTTCCACATTGTCAAAAGTTGTGTTACAAAAAGGATGAAGTGTTCACCCACCCCACGATATGTTGAAGTGCCATACAGCCTGTAATAAGAATTGGCACAGCGGGCTGGACAGTGGACTCTGAGAGACACATGAGAAACAACCACATGAGTGTGCATCGTAATAACAAAAGACAGCATAGTATGGCACAAACAGAATACAAACATTACTACACAATGCATCACTGTATTTAAATAATATTATTCAGTGCTCCACTCACGTCATTTTGTCATTGCCAAAGTTGAAGTTTGGCCAACTGGCGCATGAGATTGCATCTGCCAAACAACAAGTTTTCATTAATCACTATAATTAAGAAAGTATTACAGCAGATTTAAACAGATATTTAAATGGTAATCTGTGTGGTTTTAGTGTTTTCCTTACAGTCCGGTGTGCATCCTAAGACGTCAAAGCGAAGGCCTGCCTGACCGCTGAACTCCAGTGGGAGGATGCGCACATATTGAGCTGACATAGGTGAACCCAGCAGCTGAGTCTCAGGAGTATTTCTGTCTGTTGCGCCCGGGAAAAACTAGAAATAAAAGACATGCAGTGTGATAATCTGTTTTTAGGAATCACAGTTTGGATTAGTGGCTGTTTCTGCTAACTCACCGGTCCGTCAGGAGTGTGGTCAGTCCAGGTTGTGCCGTCCATACTGTGCTGGATCTTAAATTTGGTGACCCAGTAGTCATATTGAGGACAACCCTGGATCACTATTCCTGTTATTTTTCTGGTCTGGCCCAGGTTTACCTGGATCCAGCTTGAAGTTGCTGGAGGAGGAGAAGATATTAAATACAGTATGAGGCTAATATTATGATGCCAGTTCAACAACTTAACAATGTTCTCTTCACCCAAATGTATCAGTTAAAACTCCTGTGAGGACTTTTAGTATGCTGGATGTAAAAACATAGTGAGGAAAATGTTAAGTCATCAAAAGCAAACGAGGCCGTCAGCATAAAGGTGGACTCTTTTTATTGAGTCATTTTTATTGTCTGACACCGCTGCTGTTGTCAGAAGATGTGAATAACAGACGTTTTTAGATCTTCCAAAGTAAACATTCTCAACGAGTGATACATTTAACGTTTAAAATGAAGCAGGGTGAGATTTTTGTTTAAAAAACACTGCTTACACAATTACAATTATCCCTCTAATCTCTTCAGGTGGCGCCAATATCGACACAAAACAAAAGTCCCTCACAGGAGCTTAAAGGTAAAATCTTGTAAGTGTAAAATCTGGGTTCATACATACCGCTCCCTGAGGGTCTCCAGCAGGAATTTCCATTCAGACGGGCTTGGCTGGGAGTGAATCCACCGATGGAGGAGGAGGCAGAGAGCTGGGAGTCTGAGATGTTTCTGTCCTCGACGCCCAGGCCGTGCAGACACACTGTGAGCAGAAAGAGCAGAAAAGTACACATCAGCTTTTAGCTTTGATAGAAAACGTTAAGTTCCTTTTGGGATTTATTCAGAAGACACAGTGATTGGGTTTTATTTCAATACAAAGAATCAAAGAGGAAAAAGAAGCGCAAACCTTTTTGTTCACAGGTGTAGACAATCTCGATGTATTTGGAAACATCTGGACAAGGGTCGACGACTTCAGGGGCGTACACGAAGCAGAAGGGTTTGTTGTCACATGACTTTCTAAAGTGAGGAAGGACACCATCCACGGTACAGCTTCCTGCAAAACAGAGATTATGTTTTGATTGAGCAAATATTCTTTTGTGTAAATCGATATAGTTTAACATATTTGAGAGCTTATTTTGTATGATGTCCTTCATTGTTTGTACATATTAATTTATTTTCTTCTCTCCGAAATAAACTTCAAATTCAAACTCACATATCAAAATGTATTACCAATAATATACAGAAACCAGTAAAACAGTGTTTACATACGGGCAAGTAACTGCAGCTAGTGTTTATCAAGAAGAAGTAAATGATTTGCCAAATGCAATTTCTCTGTCTTTATCGCTTTTGTATTTAGAAGAATTAGATCCATGTGATGAGATTTACCTGTCGATCCATCCAGATGTGGACAGATGTCATCGCTCTTTCGCCCGTAGAAGGCCGACTGGATGTTGATAACACTTTCTTGTGGACAGTGAAGCACAGCGGAGGAGCCCTCACAGATTAGAGCCGTCATATAACCTGCAGCAGGAAATTAAAAATGTATCTCTGCTTTGTTTTGTGTCCTTTATAGATAGAAAGTTGCAGATAGCAAATAGCACTGATCAGCTTTAACTTCTATGTTGTGTTGAAAGGTGTTGTAATGTTACCATCATGAGGCGGAGGAGGCTCCGGTGTGTCTCCTGAAAAACACAACATGAATATAGTGTAACTATCACGATTTAACATGAGTTTGCAGATCTTAGTAAGAAAGTAAAAATGTTTCAACATGTACCTTTCCGCTTGCAGATGTATCCTCTCTTGTTCTCACAGTTGTCGTCATTCCAGTAGCCGCTGTTAATGAGTACTGAGAGGCAGTCCTCACCGTAATAGTTGTCTGGATTACCTGTCAGGAAATATCATGCAATGGAAGGACGTTTAATTTCTTTTCTTTCTTTTCTTTTGGCAATCTGTGACTCCTTACACTATTGTTTCTTAATTCTCTCCCTCAGAAATCATGCAGAGTACACCTGGCGTTTTATTAACCTGCACTCCAACGGATGTATCTGAAAGGAGAACCATCAACCCACTCCCAGCCGCCTTCAGTGACCGAGTCATGACCGCCCATCCACAAAGAGATCCCTGTAGGACTCAGCTGGATCACGCCTTAAAGGAAAACCAAAAAAAAAAGCATTAATAAATGCTGAGAAAAAAAAATACACACACAACTTGTGTAAAATAAACATGAATGTCTGACTTTTTAAAGAGCAACTAAAGACCAGGCTGAAATGTTGACTTTCCTTTCCCTCTGAGGTCAGCATGAATTACATGTTTTGTGGGTTTTTAGCTCATCTCTTAAGGCACAATAAGATAAAAAAAAAGTCCCTCTAGTGCCATTTAGTCACTTATCAACGTAGACCAGAACAACTTCCCTCACCTTGTATGAAGGCCTGTTCAAAGGGATCTGTGATACTGACGAGGTCTCCTCCCTGGTTGAGACAGTCGGCTCGAGCCTCCGCCCAAGTCCTCATGGACAGGTAGTTAAACAGGTAGCAGTAGTCGTTGAAAGGGTCGGCCATCCACGAACCACATTTAACATTCCAGCCTGTAAAAAAACACAACACAAAGGTTTACACATCCGTTTTTATACAGATTTACAACACACATATGATCAGTGTGAGATTCTGTTGTCTGAGTGATGATCAGCGGAGTGTAAAGCTCACCTGGTCCAGATGTTGGTGGCTGAGGAGGAGGTCCTTGTCCCTTGGCTTTAAAGAGACATGATGAAGAATCACTTGAGATTCAGTGTGAACAAAGAACAAGAGGAATGTGAGTGATAAATGAAGGAAAACGAATCGGACCTTTTTTGCAGACAAATTCTTTTGTGGAGGTGCAGAAATCGTCGTTGAATTTTCCAGCTTCAGAGTGATCCGCCCCTCTGATGTGCACACAGTCCTCGTTGTTCTGCCAGTTGTCTGGCTGGTTGGGCCCCCATAGGAGGAAGTCCTGAGATCAAATAAGAACAAACCAGCATGAATCTCCTGTAGACCTTTTTTGTGACACTAAGTGACAGAAAAACTGCAAAACAAATCAAATTAAGACGGCATCCAAGTGTGAAGCCTGGTCTGAAGAGCCAATACTGTTATATTAAACCTACCCTGTTACTGAACTTATCACACTTCTATCAATCCTGTTTTAGGCTCAGTTTCTTTGAATCAAACCTCATCCACTGAATACTTACTTATAATCATATGTTTAATGTTTATTTTGTATTTCACGTTTATTTCATACTCTTTTGTGTTACTGCTTTATTTTGTACGTAATGTTGGAGCTGCCTGGCATCCAAATGTATTTTTAGAATTCTATCTGTCGCATCATAACGTATGTATCACATCCCATCGCATTGTATGTATCGTATGCTATTGTACAACTTTAGTGAGACAAAAGCAACCACGGTACAAAACATCTGAGAAAAACTAAGTTTCAAGTTTTATTATTAAAATGTAATATGTGGTTACAAATGTTTTCAGTTAAATATGTCTTAAAAGCTTGAATAGCTTTAGTAATAAAAAAAAAGCTTCAACGCTTCTTGATTTAGGAAGTACAAAAAAAAGGTTACTGGCACCGGTTTGTAGTTCATGCAAGTTAAAGCGTGCAAACCAGAAAACAGAGGCTGGGACCAACAGTCTTCTAAAGATTTCAAAAGTCTTGCATGTGTTCCTTGTTTATGTGTAATTGTTGCTCCTTTGAGAAACATTTCATACCGCCTCTATCGAATAACATATTTCTGTGTGCAAAGGTGAGAAACAGCTCTGAAGAAGAGGAAAACAAACTAACAATAAGTTCAGGATTTTTGTTTACAATTATAGTTTAGGTTAGGGATTTTGTGATTTAGGTTTTGCACAGTAATGTTCAGACATTTACATCATACATTTTCCCATCCTTTTTCGATCATTTGTTTCATTCTGTAATCTTTTGTTGTGTACAGAAAATAACCCTGTTTTACCCCAATGGGCACATCTTTTTTATCCTTTCAAAACTACTTCCAATCATTTTTAATTGTTTGTAATTTTATGAAATGTGTTTCAGGGATTCTTCACTTACTGCAGGAGTTCCATCGGAGTACACAAACTGGCCTTCAATATTGATATCATTCAAACCGATCCAGGCCTGTGCCGGCATGTGAGCTGTAGATTAAAGACAAGAACATCTAGTTTTCATTTAAATGTAAATGCAACATCATTTCCCCAATAACCTTCATTAATCATTATTATTAAAACTGAGATGAAGTGTAGCTGCTCACCAACAATGAAGCTCAGTTCCTCCTCAGAGTGAACACTGACCAGGTGAGCCTGCTCGCCTGCACAGTGAGCCTCTGCATCCTGCCAGCTTTTCACAACCTCAGTCTCAAACTGATAGCAGAAGTCCCCGTACAACAAATATCCAGAGTCACAGTGGGAATCTGAAGTGAAAGAACTTCGGTTATTACAAGTTAAAGGGCTCACTTTTACAAATACAGCTTTTAAGGATGAAAAAGTAATGTCTGACTGACCGGGGTTGCAGTGGGTTTGGGGTTCTGTCCACCAGTCATCTCACAAATGTAACCCAGTCTCTTGAAGCAGTTTGTTGTTTCCCATTTGCCTTGATAATTCCCTGGAAGATAAAGTCAACTCAGCTGATCTGAGCTTGTTTTGCAAAGCCTGACTAACTGATGAAACACACAAAAAGGTGTCAGTGTACGCTTAAATAACAGTGTGGATTCTACCTGTGAAGATTTGTCCACAGTCCCAGACGTTTGCAGTGTTTTGGGGCCAACCAGGACCATAGTTGGAAAAAGTAATCTGAGTTTTATCAACCCATCTGAAATCCCCGTCTTGATCTTTATCTGGCAGAATCACAAAAAGAAAATCAATGAAAAAAAGCTGTCAAAATCCAAACTTACTGTAAAGAGTCATTGTTGTTTTGTACCACTCAGTAAGTATACATACCTGATAAACCAAGCCAGATGTCGGGGATGTCTACTTGGTGGAAGTCTGGAAGTTTCCCATTAATGAAGAACTGTTCCTCCTGACTGCACACAAAGAGTATTTAAACAATGACAGAAGGTTAAGACGTCTACTCTTCTCAAAAGCACCAGTCTCTGTGTAACTAAATGCATAATATGTAGATTAAGTACTTTTAGCTTGTTATACTGCCCCTAGTGGCCGGCATGAAATAATGCACCTTTATTGAGGGAGCTGTTGCCAATCCCAGCACAAGGGCACCTAGGCAGTACTCTCGAAGTGACCTGGCACTTCTCAAGCAACCACACCAACATCCATACTTTGGTCAGCACCGGTACTTGAACCAGCGACCCTCCAGTTCCCAACCCAAGTCCCTACAATTCTACAACGTTATTCTTTCCTACCTGTTTATTATGAGCAGGTGGGCCCCCTGATCTGAGCACTTGGTGAAAGCATCGTGCCAGGTGGTCAACAGATTGATGTTACTGACCATCCAGTAACAGCTGCCTGAGAAGCTCAGCCAGCCGGAGGGGCAGATGGCTGGAGGGGAGATTACATCAAATTACATTTTGTTTTTAAGTATTGAAATAAAATGTAGCGAGATATCATTTTCATGTATATGGGAACAAAATGTGGCTCACTGTTCAGTGGTCGTTTACACATGTAAGGACGCTCATATCTGCACACGTGTGATCTCCATTTCCCAAATTCATCTGATGCATCTTTGATGATTGCAGAACACGAGCCGACCTGAGCGTCCCTGTTGGAGGACACAGGTTTAAATCTTAACTTGTAAGTACTAATGATTTAAATGTAAATAATGTAAATATAAAATAAAGATATCTTACAGCGTAGGTTCATCTGTACCCCAGTTTAAAAAACCCACTGCTGTAGCATCAGACCAGGCCCACTGAGTGTTTCCGGCTTCAACTTGACATCCAATCTTGTTGCATTTCTGGAGAACACAATATTCAAACTCAGTGTTACATAATAATGAGGAAAGTGGGCTTCTTAATTCTGAATTGTTGTTCCTCTCACTAGAGTGGACAATCCAATCCAGAGGTCAAAGCGCGACGGGTCCAGTTCTCCTGTGATGTACTGCTCCTCTGCTGCTGAAGTGATGGACACCAGGTCTCCTCCGTTCTGCACACAGTCGTGTCTCGCATCCGACCAACTCTTCCTGGTGTCTGCATTCAGCTTGTAGCAGTTGGAGCCGTATTGTCTCCAGCCGTTGTTTAAGTCACACCGAGGGACAGGGTTCGCTATAGAGGGGAAGAAAAGGTTTGAATTGTAGCTGGTTCCACATGTGAAGAATCCTTTGATTAGATCAGCACCAAATGATGTGACACAGACATTTTACAACATTTTCTAGTCCCGTTATTATTAGTATTTTATGCTTAACATACTCATGTATCTACATGGAAAACGTGGGAGACGTATTAAATCCTCTAACAAGGGTAAGCTTTATGTTATCTTCTGTTTTCATTCCACACTGACTGACACTTAGTGGCATTTGTCATTCAAACGTAGAAAAGCTGACACTGTAAGGGGAGGCAAGAAACACCAAGAAAAGTAGAACTAAAAAAGGCAGCGAAGAAGAAGAGCAACTACACTAAACATAGACGCTGACAATGTCTGCGTCAAAGTCTTTTCTAGAAAAATCATCCTTTGCAGCTGAGGAGTCACTTCAGTACAATATTTCCTGATTACCGCTGTTCAACAAAAGAAAATAAATGCCAAGGAAAGAACCATGAAATCGCTTTTTATGAGGAGGAACATTTCTATACTTCAAACACCGATCAGGGAGTTAGAATAAATGGATGGTGGCAGTTGAAGTTTGGTGGTGATAATCCACAAAAAGCACACTTTACTTTACGTTTTATTTCAGACCCACAGGTCCATATCATCAGATCATGTCCATTCAATTTGACTTTAAACACTAACGTTGTTTTTTTTTCTTTTAGCATGAAAAATATTAATAAAACTGAAGCTCATCTCTTCCGTCTTTAGCTTTTGCGCCACAGAAATTCAGTAAAACTGTGAAAAATGGTGATGACCTCCATACTAAGAGCATCCAACCTGAGCATGGGACATCAGCAAACAGTGAGTGTAGCTGGTGGACTTACAGTTCACGTGCTTGCAGATGTATTTCCTCTTGACGTTGCAGTTCTCGTCATTCCACTGTCCATAGCTGCCTCCTAACACCTGGCCGCAGTCCTCGCCTGGTTCAGCACCCCAGTTATCAGGCTGACCCGGTGCCCAGAATCTGAAACCAGACAAATCATTTCAGTCTTTCATCCTCTACAACTCGGGATGTTTTGACTCTTCTTTCTGATCATGAAGTGGAAGCAGTGTCCTGTATACGTACGATAAGTGTTCATTATAAGTATCCCCATCCGCCCACTCCCAAACATTTTCTGCAATCCGATCATTCAGACCGAACCAGTAGATCTCTGCGTCGATTTGAGTCCTTATCCACAGCTAGAAAAAAAGACATAAATATGCATTGATGACTTTTATGAATTAATATGACACGATATGAGAGCAGTTATCACAGTGTGGGTTTGTAATCTCACCCTCTCATGGATGTCCTGAATACTCATCAGGTTGCTTCTCTGGCTCAAACAGAAGGACTGAGCCTCCAGCCACGACTTCGTATCAGTCGAGAAGAAGTAACATTTATTCTCATTCTCTCTCCAGCCTTCATGACACTGACAGTGGGCTGAGAACACAGCAATAGAAAAACATCTTACAGGTTAAAATGATGTGTCACAGATCATTGAAAACTGCCTCCTCCTTTAAGACAGCTTTTTTTTGTTGTTTCTGCCTGTTTGTGGGAAAAGAGTTTCTTAATCTCAATGGGACAAACCGGGTTAAATAAAGGTTAAATAAATCAAATTAATAATTCAATTTAAAAGATTGTCTAAAGAAACAGTCATGGGAAAGTATGAATCTACTGAGTCAGTCTGACTTTAAGATGATTGAATTGTATTGTTTCTGTAGGAATCGTTAATTTGATTTGGAAGAAAAAGTAAAAGAGTTAGCCGTCTGATTTTGTATCAACAGTAAGTTAAGAAAGAAGAAGGTGTTATAGGTTTTCTTCTTCCTGCTCCTGTTTGTTTATGAAAAGTGTTTCCGTATTCTGTGATGTGTTTACCGTCATCGTGTTGGAATCACACACTGAAATACATCAAATATGAAATATGAAAGAAAATGATTTGATGAACTTTATTTCAATGTTTTGGACAGAATATTAAGATAAAATGCTCTCGTTGTTTTTTCCATTGTTTCCGTTTATGTGAAATTTCACAAGGGGAGTGAACCCCTTGAATAGCCATCAATCATAAAAGTCTCATGACAGATCCACAGTCCAGCTGTGTCAGTCACTTCTCTGTGCTAATGTTTGACTTTAACAGCTTCGACAGAAACCTGAATCACATGACTTGCTCACCTCTGTGTTGAGAAGAAAGACCATGAGAGGAAAATGTGGACGCAAAGTTGAACTGGTAACAGGGATTTATGTGTGTGTGTGTGTGTGTGTGTGTGTGTGTGTGTGTGTGTGTGTGTGTGTGTGTGTGTGTGTGTGTGGGGGGGGGGGAGACGACGACTGTGTTCCTCAATACAATGACAATAAGGTGTCTATCCTATCCTCTCATCGGCTCTCAGCGCGAGGCATAAGAAACACTAAATATTAAAAAACCTGCTATCAGCCTTTGACTGCCTATTAATCAAAGCAATATTTCTGAACATACAAACTTTCCATGTTGTCTCAGTTACATCCTGACCTGAAGTCTAACCCATCTTTTTTTAGGTAAGATTAATCTTGTGAGTCTGTTTGCCGACATTTTTCCACATGAGCTGTTGATTTGATTTGCACTCATATATATATATATATATATATATATATATATATATGTATATCTTTGTTTTAAAAAAAAAAACAGGTAATAACTGAACAGTTTGTGTAAAGCAAAAAAAAAAACAGAAAAAAAGTTTAAAAACTGTGGAAACTGAATGAATCTTTATTTCAAGCTATGATTTTATCACCTTTATGCAAACTAACAGTTCATATGGACATGTTCTCCTGATTTCTCTTTAAGAGCATTAATGTGGTCTAGAATTGAATTTCTGTCCTCAGCTGCTGCCTCGTCTCATCGCGTTAGGTTCAAAATTACAGCGTTTGCATTCAGTTGATACTCTTCAGTTTTTAATCAGAAGAGGAGACAAATAGCATCTGGGTTCTCAGATTCATGCTTTTAGCTTTTGGCGGTTAGTGCAAGAATATGTTTCTCAAAAATAAAAATAAGTCACAAGTGCAACCACAACATTGTAATAAAAAGTCGACTTACCACCAGCCAGAAGAGCAGCAAAGCTGAGCAGCTGCAGAAGCACTCTGTGTCTCCTGTCCATTTTTTTTAATTTGCTGTGTTTTCACCTTCAAGCTGTGTTTCTACACATCCTAATATCTGCACGTTTGTCTCCAAACTCCCTCAGCCCTGCCAAGAGTGTGAGGTGAGATGTGATCAAGCTCCCTGTCATCAGACCTCTGAGCATCTTCTCTTCACTTCTTCTGTTTTCAGCATCCGTCCAGGGTCCAAAGACTGAAAGCAGTAAAAACACAGATGACACACACAGTCGGCCTGTATACACGTCAATCCATAAAAGTCTCATCACACAGAAGAATTCAATGATTAGAAACTAAGTTTGTGAAAAAAAAGGAGAAACATTTACTCGTCATAAAACCAAATAACTTCAGTTTTTAATACTTTACTGAGACGTGTTTTCATCAATGAACAACTTTGTAAGTTTAATAAATGTACATTTTGTCTTTGTTACTCACTAAAGTCATTTCATATCAAGCTTTTTTATTAAACCTTTAACTGAATGTGCTTTATGAATATGTGCTTTATTTATAAGGAGCTCAAAGTTCCTTTAACACTGTTTACTTCTTCATACAAAATATCAGTTATCTATGATGTGTGTAGTGTAATAACACAAAAACTAAGGCAGTCTAATATGTATTCTTTAAAAATTGTAAAAGACGATAAGGGTAATTAAACTATACGTGCAAAAGGATCATCATGATCCTCATCAGGATCTTATTGACGCCCTGATTATATGAGTGTGCATATCACACTTCCCACAGTTCATCCATAAAGTTCAGAACAGCGTTTATAGAAAGCACATGTCAGCGGTCGATAAACTTTATACCTACAAACGTTTGTCTCAAACTGTTACTTTTTAACTGGGTTTAATGGATGTTACAAAACAATACATTTGACTGCTCAGAAGACGTTTCAGAATCAGTCAAAATAAAGACGCTCGATTAGAATTAGATCCATGAGAATTTTTATTTATTTATGAATCTTTAATTGGATTGGACAGGAAATTTAACATGAAGCTCCTGCAAACTTTGCGACTGTTCATGCTGCAAAAAAAATGGTCGTTACTACAACTAAAGTTGTCATGATACCAGATTTTTAAAATTCTACAAAATTCAACTATCAAACGATGCATCAATACCTGTCTGGGTACCACGGCAACAAAAATAAAAGTCCTAGACACCTAATATTGGGTGATTTCTTGGTTTAAATTTTTCTTGAAAATGCTGGCAAACTCCTGCACACAGTTTAAATTGCACAAACACGATGTCATTGTTAGATTTTGGTACCGAACATTTTCCTATGTCTTTGTGCAATTTAGACAGTTCTCTCTCTTTTCTGATAAAATATGCAGAGATCTGGGGCCCGTCTCAGAAAGAAGTTTCAACATACTCTCAGTCTAACTCTGAGCTCTGATTTGATTTTCCCTCAGTTTCCAGTTTCAGAACATCTGATTTGAGTTTGTTTAGTCGACTCTGAGCAGGTTCACCACCAGCGTAAAAAGCCAACATCAATAGAGCCCTGATACTATGATTCACCATGGCAACAGGTGACAAAAACTAAGTCCTCATACTCTTCTTCTCTCGGTCCAAAACATCCTCGGGTGGACATTCGGCGAATATGAACATGTTTTTAAAAAATAAAGAAACTCTGCTGCGGCAGCAAAGGAGGAGGAGGAGGACAACTGCTGCTCGAGTCAGTGCGTTAGTTAGTATGTTGTTTATTCAATTTAAAAAAACAATCAATCAGACGTATATTATTGCAGGTAAAAAATGAGTGGAATGGTGTTGAGCCCATTATTTGTTTTCATTTAGGTAGGTTTTAGTTACACCTCTTTCTCAGGTTTGCGTGAGCTCCCTTTCTGAAACAGAAAACTCAGTTTCCCTCAATTCAGGGTCAACAGACTCAAAATTTTGGTTTCTGAAACGGGCCTCTGATTGATTTATTTATTTCAACATGGTATGAAGAAGTGTCTTGACAACCTTACTGGAAAAGTGACTAAGAAGTAGAAAAAGAAAAAAAAAACACAGCAAAGAACTTTTTACACATCTTTTATTGAACCAATTCATAGCAATAACATGTAAACAAAAAGCAAAAGATGGAAGCAGTCAAGAGGAGGAACAAGGAAATGTGAAGTTTAAAAAAGACTCTGCCTCGCTTACTTACAAAGTTGACAAAAATATTGATAGTATATAGCTGATCAAATGCAATATCTTAAACAACGGCAGTACACAAACTGTGCAATAATGTGGATTAGTCTGGTACAAACTGGATTTATTCTGTTTCAAACTTTTTCAGCCTAATCTAAATGTTAAATAAACATTCTCAAACTTACCACATGAATAACATGAAAATTCTCCATTTAGGACAAAAATATACTCAAGAAGACTTCACATCTATTCTAAAAATAGTGCACAGCAATGGATTAGATAGTGTAGTAAAGAATAATACCAAAGATACACCTATCTTATTATACAAAACGTCCATATATTAAAATATAACAGAACCATCTGAAGAGACAAACCTCAGCTGGATCTCATACACATTCTGGTTTCTGACAGTCCAGCTATCGATAAACACTCATCTTTACTTTGAAAATCTGTCCCTGTCGCTTTGATCAGATCTCGATATAATTATGTAAAACTGGAAAAGAACTGGAGAGATTGCCGTATTGCTCTGATCGGTCCTGGCCTCTCAGATGTAAAGTCATCAAATCTTTTTGTTTTCTTAAATCCTGAGGTTGGAGTAAAGGGCTCCAGATTCAGCAGGCGGTTGAAAACAGATTTGCATCTACAGCTTTTCTAAAAACAGCTGATGCAGGTTTTTGTCTGTTTGGCACTTGCAGCAGTTCAATTCCTCAGACCTGTCACCTCCTCACCAGCGACTGACTTGTCTCCACTGGCTATAAATGATTGTTCAAACATGATTACAGGCAAATCCCTAAATCTCAGAAATGCTGGAAAGCAACGCAGCTAAACACAGTTTTAACTGCTGAAGGAATATTTTTGAAAAGCACCTTTAAAAACGTTTACCTGCTCTAACCGAAGACTAAGTTAACAGGAATCATTGAAATGTGGTTGACATCTTAACATCCTATTTTAGATTTAATAATGAAGATATTTTGTGTTTTAGCTGCACAGCAAACTACTCGTTGAATCCAGTTTGTTCACTTCTCTCTGAGACAAGGAAAACAACTACAGAGCCTCAAAGATATTCAAGGAGAGACCTATGAAATGATTTTTTATACTGGCCTACAGTAAACATACAGTCCACATTCATGATGTGCAGGTTACCTTGTACTTCTGAAATCATCAGTCTCAAGATGCTAGTATTAATTGGAAGCCTCAGCTACTTATTCCCTTCAGAAAAGACTGAACTCTATCAAGGCAGTCAAACAGATGAAAATACAGTACAAAGAACTACAGAACTGATTGCAAATAACATCATCTGGAGTCAAGATAAATGTCTCAAATGTGTCACTCAGAAAAGACTTTGAATAGTCACATGTGCACTTCAAGTCAGTAAAATCTCCCTAATATTCCTCTCTATGTGTGCAAACTGAACATCAGTCATAATCACTTTTAGGCTGATGATCAATCCAGTGGCGACAGTTATTAGGCTGCCGGGGGGGGGGATCACGCCGTCACTGTCTGTGTGCTTTGTGTTGTGTGTTCGTGCAGTGGTCAGATCGTGTTGTGGCCTGGCAGTCAGTCAGTCAGTCACCTGGTAACAAACCGGAGCCGGAGGTCACATGCAGTTGGCCACGTTGCTGGAGCCCTGGCCAACGTCCCTGATCTGGCTGACATGAGACGAACAGACGGCCACTCCGGCTCCGGCACGGCAGTGAGACACTGATCCCACCAGCTCCCATCTGAACAGCAAACAGAAGAAAAACACTGTTGGAGTCCTAAACAATACGGCAGTAAAAATGTCTGAACATGCAAAATTAATATCAGTGCACCTACAGCAGTGAAATATATTTTGGTTGACAAAATACAGCGTAGTGTGATTGAACCAAAAACATTTTATTTGTGCATTTAACTCTGATTATTTTTATTTTCTGCTTTCGTTTCTAAATGACCATTTTTCTGTTGCCAATATCTTTTTTCTTATATTTCATGCATTAAGTCCCTGAAAAGGGTTATTACATTTTCCCGATAAATGAACTCGACAGTCCTGGTAACACATGCACTAAACTACTGAAAACAAATTTACATTTTCAGGGTGAGCTGCAGGTGTAAACACAAACAGTCATACATCATTTTTATCCCAGACTTGATCCTGAATTTTCCAGTCTGTCCCCAAAAACAAGAAGAAGCAGCAGAAGCAAGAAGACAAGGTGAGCCGATGGTTCAATGTCATAGTGAGCCTCCTGAGAACCCCCCTTCCCCCCATCCCTGTCCGATAGGGACAACCTGCTCTGGGTGACAGGGACATGTATCAACACAACCAGTCTCAGGAAGATTTCAGGAGATTTCTGAAATGTTGAGGACTACATGTGTTCAAATGGCTTATGACTACTTACAGGTTGAGCCATCTGAAATGTTTTCTATTACTTGTTTGTCAAAGAAAATGAAGAAAGTTTTGGTTTTTAATTTTAACTTCTAAACAGTCACAGATGAAGAGATGTTCATGTTTTATCGTCAAGAGATTATTTACACTTTCCAATATCATATGCATTTGTTGTGTTGGACACTGTGAGCCAGCTACATTTAAATTTCAGCAAATTAAGTTATAATATTCTGTAATCCTAGATTGGTGTCATGCTTGTGATTTAATAGTTTGTGTGTGTTTATGTTGACAAACTTGTTCGCCTCAATTCTCCATCATGGGACCACTGGAGTCATTCTAATATAATCCCTGAAGTAAAAACGAGTACCACACAGTGTGTTGTCATCTTCTTCATATATTCACAGACCTGATGCATGATGATCCTCATCACAGGAGGTTCCTACTCAGTAAGAAGTTATCCCACACCTCACCTTGATATCTTACAAACACTTCACATCAAACAGTCCTCATTCATCTCCTTCTCACCTGTTCATTCGAGGCTCAAAAGCCTCCACCGTGTTCAGGTAGATGTTCCCATTGTGACCCCCAACTGCAAACACTCTTCCCATTACCGTGGCGACCCCGACCCCACCGCGGGGGGTGGTGAGCTCAGACACGTACTCCCAGCGGTGCATTCTTGGGTCAAAGCGCTCAACGGAGCTCAGGGGTGAATTGTCATCAAAACCCCCTTTAGGCAAGAAGAGAGACAGTTATGTAAGAATCACAAGAAATTCTGTTTTGGTGATGAAAACGGGTCAAACCAGTAATTTGTTCTGGTGTAATGACTGCCATACCCGGCTGCTTTGAGGAAGGATTATGCTGACACTAATGAAGCAGGCACAAGTTAAGAGGATTTCATGGATCCATACTAAGCCAAAGCTAGTGACCGGGCAAAGTGCCATAAGAGAAGTTTTAATGATACTTTAAAGACTCTTTAAATTGTAGTGGTACAATAAAAACAACATTCCTAACACTCTGCAAATCAGTAACCAGATTGCTTTACAAAACATGAACTTTTGTCTTTCCTGATTCACACAATCTGTGTATAAACTGAAGGGTGTGTATGTAGAAGGCATGTGACTGGGTGTATAAAAAAAATCAATGAAGTACAGTAAGAGGATGAAACAGCTGAAACATAATCACAAACATTTCTATCCAAAGTCAGTGTCATTTTAGTCACTGCTGCATTATTAAATGCAAACAAACACATTTTATGATGGAAATACACTTAATTTTGAATCTAGTCTTTGTGTACACAACAGGCTGTGTCATGAATGTAATCGTTCACACACTTGATCATGCATTATGTGTGTTACTGGAAGATACCCCTAGAGGGCACTCTAGAAAGCTCAGACTGTATGAAACAAACTGATGTGGGGGATGTGCATAGACATGGTGACACTCAAGAAGGTTTCTATTTTAATTCTGAGGTCACGGCAGAAAAAAAAACATTGGCGCCAACATAGGTGGTATGTAAGGTGGACAGATCACACTGTTGTCACGGTCCCCTTTTCTCCCTTTTATCTGTTGCCAGCTATTTTGATTGGTGTATTTGTCACTGTGCAGTGACAATGACACATCATAAAGCTGTATTAACTGCAAACTTTCTGCCATTGTTGTCCCTGCTGCTGTGATGACTCTCTCACATCCCCTCTGCCTACATGTGCATACGGCACCTTGCGACCACATTGTCTTAATTTTTAAGCACGTGCTCAGTAGATGCTTCAAACTGACACAGAACATGCAGGAAACCATCCCACACATGCAAAAGAATATTTCAAAGTAAGTATATCTCCATCCTTGATGCATCAGCGATATACAGCTACTGATGCGATTACTTCAAAAGATGCATACTGCCAGTGTTTTGATTTCATATTTAGTTTATATGTTCATCTCACCAACTACATAGAGGCAGCCATTGAGTTTGCTGACTCCATTTCCGGCCCGTCGCTGGCCCATCTCGCTGACCTCTGTCCACTTGTTGAGGTGTGGGTTAAAGCGCTCCACGCTGGACAATGATGCCACACCATCATTACCTCCCACAGCATACACATAACTCTAATAAGGAGAGAGTATG